ATCTATACTTTTCCCATCTATGCCTTGTCTACACTGTGCCTCAACCCCACTGTGCTACCGTTTTTATTATTTATTTTACAAATTATTAAGTCAGTACATAATGAAATGAAGAGGGCGCCCAAGTACTTTTTTCGGCGCATCAAAACATGTCTCGGGAGATCATAAATTCTAGTGTATTGAGTGGTCATAGAGACATGATTTCTTATATTAGCTTCGACGCGAAGATGAGAATTTTACTCATTACTCAAATTTTAACAAAAATTTCGCAATTACTTAACTGCCAATTTCTAAAAAAAAGAAAAATCGGTAAAGCGTTTGCATATTTTAATCGTATAGTACATTAAATAAGCTTTAATTTGATTAAGTTAAGAATGACGTAAAGATGTTTTTTGCTATGCAAAACAATTCAAAGTCGACCGTTTTTACCGAAAATTGTATGATTTTTGAACTAATAATAGTCTTGTTATGAACTACTGCACATGTCGTGCTGATCCAGACAAAGCTGACCACTTGACTAGTGCATATTTGGGTCAAATATTTTAATATCAATTAGTCGTAGTTTTGTCGCCGTACTAATAATTTTATAGATTATTATTACGATACATCTATGTCAATTACAATAAACCACTAATAAATATTAAGTACTGAATTTGTTTCTTAAATACTTCTCAATAATTTTAAGAACTAAACCACAATACTTCAGGTTAATTCCGTCAACAATAGTATAACAGACGACTCGACATCGCTCGCCGACAATTCACACGCGATAAGACTAACCCAAGTAATCTGTGACACCGGAAAAACCGAGATCACAACAGTCTGATAACTTCTAGAAATTAAGCTTTCGGGTAATTTTTCTTTTTGTCATCAAATATATTGTAGTTTTATTTTGATATAAGTTTAAATCTGTTGGAACATTATGAAGTATTACAAAAAAAATTTTGACATGATTTTTAAGCTACATTGGTCGACAAACAAACATATATACTAACTTATAAATTAGAATTAGAATTATGCTGTTAAATAATAAGTACTAGTTGATTTAAACAATTTTTGAACCGTTATTTTGAAAGTTATTAAAACTTTAATACTGGAGTAGAAATGCGAAGGTTTTGGTTATTTTTAATATTAATGATTTGTTAATAAAACACGAAGTATATAATTAAATAAAACTTATATTTCTACTTACCTCTGACAATGAAATATTGATTTTAACTGGATGACCAATTGGCTGTTCTTCTTTATTAATTATTTCTGAGAAAACAATATCGGCTCCAAATACTATTAAAAACAAAGTTCCTAATGTCATATATATCATGTATAGAAAAAAATAACGATGATTATAAAATCCTACACAGTTATTTAACCACGCTAAATATAAAAAGTCAAGGATAAAAAATAATTATTAATTTGATCTTTGCAGTGAATACAAGAACTTTAAAATATTAAATTATTTAGACATTTCAATTATAATACCAACTTTATTTTAGTAATTTTTTCAAATAGTTTAGGAATCCTAACACAGTGAAATTTCGTCATGATTGAGACATATATAGATGCGAGTGATACAATGTAGATATTGACTTTTCGTTGAAATTTAGCGATTTTTGGTTTTAAACTATAATAACTCATACAAGAAATATCGTCGGGACGTTTTTCTTTTTTCATCATAAAGTACCTTACAAAAAATATAATTGATCTTAAGTTTAAAGAATACAAACATATTAGAATATTTAAAAAATTTAAAAACAAAATAATTTTTTTGATTTGAAAAATTTTTTGCGGCTGTTCTGACCCCGGCTGTTGGCGTGACGACTCTCAGCCCACTTGACTCGACAGTCCTCTATCTTTCTCATTGCGTTGTCCTGTATCGTATTCATGGGTGCTCATTAAGGAGCAACACTTAGACTTAACAGACTCAGACTCAAACTCAGACTTAACACTTAAAAAATATGCGACCCCTCACTATTACTGCACTAGACTCAAATAACTATAGCATATGCAGTGTTGTTGCTCATTTCAGTACACGTTACTTGTGTTTTATTTGAAAATAATAACTGTGACGATAATATATAGGTGACTGTAATAGTTTAAAACATTAATTGCCTCTTGCAAAGTCAAATTACACTATGTCAGTCATACGAAAATGTTCTCATAAAAATTTGAACTTCAAGGATTTTTAGAAACATTTTTAAACGATTGAAACTATCTATATTTTTGAGGGAGTTGGCCAATTGTACAAACAAAAATTAGTAAAATCGATCATATTATTTTAAAAATTAAAAATAAATATTTAAACTTCAAGTACGATTTATAAATTTTATAACTTGAAACACATTTGCATAGAATTGTTTTTTATGATAGTGATGTAAATCACTGTCAGACAATATCTATAATTGTCTCAACTATACCGCAACTTCACTTTGCTTTTTATTTGAATAAGCAAAAAAAAGAAATAAAATCCAGCGATAGTGTGCTATGATTGACGAAAGATAAAAAGGGCTATTTAAGCTAGTTTAAATTTTAGAAGTCATTATTTTCTATTTATGGGAGAACATAGTCAAAATATTACAAACAAGTGTAATTTTTTACACTCTATGATTCATATAAATTTATTGAAAATCATCAACCAATTGTCATAGTAATAAAGTAGGTAACATAAAATTTTACATACAAAATAATATCGACATTTTTTTTTACATGCGTATTTGAGGTCTTTCAAACTCTCCAAAACTTGCCTAAGATAGATGAAAATTTTCATTGTCAGACATAAAAAACTAGTGGGGACGTGGCATAGTTGGGTCCAGTATATATTTAATCTGACAGTGATTAAAATCACTATCATAAGAAACACTTCAATGCAAATTTGTAGATAATGTTTAATTCTAAGAAATTGGTGAATAATTACAAAAGCAACATCAACTATTTCCTTAATTATATCCAGATTAGTAATTCATAGATTCAAAAAAAATAATATAAAATTATATATTATATAATTGTTATATTGAATTGTTTTCAAATTATTATTGATTTTGATTTTTAATATGTTAAAAGTAATAATTTTTAACCTTCTTTATTTCGTCCTTTAAATTGAAAGTTTATAATAAAACAACATGTTTATTACCTTAATCTTTAGCTCAACTTGCAAGTTTGAAATTGACATTATTAAATAGAAAAAAATGAAATTGTTAAGATTAATATGCAGTAGGGAAATTTTATAATTACTGTTTAAAGTAAATTTATCAGAGAAGTTTGATTTTTTTTTTTTTGCATTTCTATCGTAATAAATCATTTAAATCAAAATCATAGTAATCATTATTAATTAACTTTTGGTGTTTGAAAAGATTCTACAATGGAAACATTTAGAACTTAATTAATTTTAATTATTTACATTAACTAAAAGAGCCAATAAAAAAAGTTGTTAAAAAGATATGCTCAATTGAGCGTAGAATAAAATTTTATAATAATTGTAAAAATCTATCGTTAAATTCAGGTGAAATTAAAAATCATTTTTTTTTTTTAATTTATGATTTATATAGCAAAATGTTACAAAAAAACACAGTACACGGGGGTCGCGGCACAGTGGTGACGTGGCATAGTTGAATCAAGATATCTGACAAATTTTTGTGAAAAAGTTGTTATTTTAAATACCCCCCTGTGGGTAGGTAAAGGGTTAAATTTATAAAAAAAATATACCAAATGATAGGTAAAGAAATCAGGCATCTATAAAAAATAAATATAGTTTAAAAAAACTAAAAAAACACGCTTTTAAAACACATCGAACTAAAAAGTTAAAAATAATTTTTAAAATAAATTTAAAATAATTATGAACAAAAAATACTAGTATTATTGTGATAAAAGCGTCGCGCGCATAATATACGAAAAATATGGCACAAAGCACCCACGTGGTCCAGGTGTGGGATTTATAGANGGAAGACATGAAAATGGTGTGGGATTTATAGAGAGTGACGATACATTACCTCAAGTAAAAGAATTCACCGCAGTAAATGACAGGATATGCTACATTCGAGTCGCGGGTCGCATTTTCGATAGCATTATTATAAACGCATATGCGCCAACTGAAGAGAAAGAAGAAAATCTTAAGAATGAATTCTACGATGAGCTCGAGAACATACTTGAGACCACAACAAATAGCTCTGTCAAAATATTAATAGGTCACTTTAATGCAAAAATAGGAAAGGAGGATATGTACAGACCCACAATTGGACCCAATAGCTTACATGACGTAAGTAAAGTTAACGGAACCAGGTTGATAAACTTGTGTCTAGCAAAAGGATTTACACTTAGTAGTACATACTTCCCAAGGAAGGACATACGCAAACAAACTTGGATAGCACCTAATAGAATAACTAAAAACCAGATCGACCACGTGATGATACAGAATAAACATAAAGGATGTATAAAAAGTGTCAGGAGTTATAGAGGGGAAGACGCCGACTCAGACCACTACCTTGTAATTACAAAACTTAAGATTAGATTATAAACAAGCTTATGACAGTATAAATAGAAAAGAACTATGGAAAACAATGATACATTTTGGAATCCCACAAAAATATGTCAATTTAGTAAAAATGTGTAATGATAAGACGTTACTTAAAGTACGTTTCTTACAGAAATTATCGCCGGCCTTTGAGGTTAACTCAGGATTGAGACAGGGAGATGCCCTGTCCCCAACTTTATTTAACCTGGGTCTGGAAAAGATTATCAGAGATTCCTATGAAGGACGAACAATGGAAGTTCTTGGCAAGGAAACTGTTTTAGCATATGCTGACGCAGTGGCGTATTTTGGGGGGGTGTCCTCCATGTCTGGACACCCCCCGACTTAAAAAAAAAAGATACATAATATATTAGTATTACATTTTTTTTATAATATACTATAAAATAAATGGTATTTTAAATAAATGACAAAAATGAAGTTAATTTGATATGATTCGACGACACGTTACGAGATTTATCTAAATTTTATCAGGGATATCTAGAAATTATTTGAATTTCACTGGGTCATAAAGATAACAAAAATACCCGCAGGAAAAATATAATAACAACGGAAATATTCTGAACTTGTAGCTTATTTTGAAATCTATTTTATATAGTTTATCAGTTTAGAGAATTATACATTTGAATAATACTATTATTTGACATTAATTTTTTCGTCGACCGTCGAGCATACAGCTATAACGTGCCATAAAGTAAGTACTAAGTACCTACCTATTTATTCAAATAAAATAAATAATTAAAATATGAACCAATCATAGGAATTTTATTAGAAATTACGAATAAATAACGAATAAATGTGTAATAAACTATTATACAATTTTAATTTTATTTAAATATTTTAAAATAATATTTTTATTTTTATTATATCTTAACTAAGTTATTACGCGTTACAAAAAAAATTAAATTTTAACAAGTCATTTATAACTGAGTTTGTAAAAGTTTATTTTATAATTTTGATCAGTATTATGCTTCAGTTAGCTATTCCAAAAAAATATTAATACATAAATAATATTTAACGAAACTAGTAATTTTTACTTGTTTCCTTTTACCCGTGCTGTCCATTTATACATTATACTAGCAATATAGTCTTTGAAACTGAGCCTCCCCTTAAAAAATACATATCAACTACTAATATGATTAATAAACTATTAGAATAAGAGTAAGTAATTATATTAAAATATAATATTTTGTCACTGAATAGAAAAATTCGTGTTTTGTCGATATTGCAATCTACGTTCTCTATAAATTGTTCTTTTGGCGAGTTTTACAGATATCCGGCAGTCACTACGACGATGGCAGTTAGAGTAAAAATGCCGCACTGCCGCCCGAGTGTTTCAATCATATTATGTAATATTATGACTGGGTGTAGCTGAGGGAGCCAAGGTAAATTGCTTTTATTCATTTAGTATTCAACCAATTAAAATTTTTTTCTCTAAGTTACTTATACTTGTATGTAACTCTACAAATGATTCTTTAAGAATTTTTCGAAAAAATAAAAAATTAAACGTTTTTGAATTTTGTTTAACTATTATAGCTTGCGATAATTAAGGAAAAAAGTGTTGTAAAATTATCAAAAATGGCACAGAAAAATCAAGGATCAATTACTTCATTTTTTAAGTTAACACCTACTACCTCAGAATTTAATTGAACTCATAACAACAATACTCTTACGAATAAACGAGCATCTTCGCCAGTTAACTCGATTGACTCCGCTAAAATTTGTCGCACTTTAAGTTTAGATACAAAAGACTCAAATAATATTTCTTTTACTGAGGACACAATCTATAGTAATAATTATGATATTGAATTTTATATTAACCGTAAGTTATCGAACGAAGATATCTTAATTGTTATGACGAAAATTTGGATGCCAAATATATCATTCAAATTCCCACAAAAACTATATACAGTTCAAAATACTTAAAGTTCCAGTATTCATGGCTATTAAGATTCCCTTATACTCGATAAAAGAAAATCATGCATTTTGTCGAATCTGTGTAGCTTTTTCCAAATCGAATGAAAATAACGGACAAATCTTTTTAGTAAAAAAAAAATATGATAATTGGAGAAATGCTATTGTTGATTTCAAAGAACATTCTAACAAGGGTTACCATAAAACGTGTGTGTTAAGTTCAGATAATTTCATGGATGTTGTAAAACATCCTGAGAAATCTATAACGTGTAAAATAGAAACTGGAAGAGCTGAACTAATTAGAAAAAATCGAAAAAATATAACTCCAATAATTCAAACCGTAATTTTATGTGGTAAACAAAATATTCCTCTCAGAGGACATCGAGATTCTGGGAAAATTATTGTTGAACAAGAAAATGACAGGCTTATCCAAGAAAATCAGGGAAATTTTAGAGAAATATTAAGATATAGAGCCCAAGGAGATAAACATTTAAAATCATTTTTGGAAGTTGAAGGAACAATAAGTAGTATACAAGTGCAACACTTTAAAATAAAATAATTGAATCCTGCAATAAAATTATTTTAAATAAAATCGTAACAAACATAAATGCCCAAAGATGTTTCACAATACTTGCTGATGAAACAGCTGACATTGGTGGAATCGAAAAAGTATCTTTGTGTCCACGATATTTAGATGTTGAAAATATGATTATCAAGGAAGAATTTCTTCAGTTTGTGTCTACGACAGATACTACTGGAAAAGGTTTAGCCGATATTATTATACAAAGTTTACATTCATTTGGTGTAGATACAAAATACCTTAGAGGACAGGGTTACGATGGATGTGCTTCTATGTCTGGTCAATTTAACGGAGCTCAAGCTATTATTCACCAAAGTCAACCGCTTGCGACGTATGTTCATTGTGCTGCTCATGTTTTAAACCTTGCTATTTCTTATTCATGTTCTATATAAAAAATACGAAATTGTTTAGGAACAATATCTAAAGTTAGAGATTTCTTTATATAACCGAAGCGAAAAGATGTGGTGAAAAGTCAAATCGAAGAAAGCCAAGAATGTATTACAAAAAAAACATTAAAACGATTATGTGCGACTAGATGGGTTGAACGTTTTCATGCTGTCAATGATTTTCTTGAGCTTTTTGAGTACGTAATTGAATCGTTATTTATAATTTCGAAGTGGAGTGTTACTGAAACATCATCACAAGCAAGCAATCTACGAACATCAATACTGAAAGAAGATTTTATTATTTGTTTACTTATTGTGAATAAAGTATTTAGTTTTGGATTACCTCTTTCAAAACAACTTCAAAGAATAAATATTGATCTAGGTGAAGCTATGGATCTTGCGGAAGATACAATAAAAGAACTTCAAACTTTAAGATCGAATGCTGAGTCTGAATTTCATAAAATTTTTGAAAATGCATTGACTTTATCAAATAAACTAGATACAAATATTTCCATACCACGTATTATAGGAAGACAAACGAAAAGAGTAAATATTGAGACAAATTCACAAGAGTCATATTTTCGAGTTGCTTTTTTTATTCCTTTCTTAGATACATTTATAGATCAACTAAATTTAAGGTTTGTTAATCAAAAAATGTTTTGGACTTTTGAACTATTGGACTTCAAATCATTAATTTCAACAGACGAAAATGAAGCTCACTTCTTACGTTTGGCGCAAATGTATATGTTTGACTTAAATGAATGCGAAGAATCTGTGTTACTGGCAGAGTTCAAATTATGGAAAAGACGTTTAGAAAGTATTAAATCATCAAATACACCAAGAAATGCCATGGAAGCAATAGTTTTATGCAATAGCCAAATTTATCCAAATGTATTTAAACTCTTACAGATTTTTGCAACTTTACCAGTATCAACTGCATCTAATGAGAGGTCGTTTTCTAATTTGAAAAGAATAAAGACATACTTGCGAAACACAATGTCACAAGTAAATTAATATTGGTTAATTTATTATTTTATAATTATGATTTTTTAAGTTTTTTTTTTTTAATACAGGGGCGATTTAATGGTTTGGCTATGCTAGCCATTAACATAGAAGTTGGCAAAGGCGTAAAGCATTTGAGTAAATGTATTTGAATAAAAGTATTCAAATACTTTCATTGGTATTGAATAGTATTTTTAAATACATTTAATAAAAAGTATCTGAGTAGTATTTTAAATACAATTATTTAGTATTTAATACTGTTTAATATTCAGTACTATTAATATACTTTTTTTTTTTAATTTGCTAACCGTAACACAGCAACCAAATTAAACTCAGTCAAAATGAAAATTGAGAATAATTCTCTGTTATTTTATATGTTACATTATACTATAATATAATTATTGTGCTTATCTAAATGCTATTATGTATACATCTATTTTTAATACNTATAGTATAACATAATTATTGTGCTTATCTAAATGCTATTATGTATACATCTATTTTTAATACATCAGTTGAACCTACAATAGCCTATTGCAGGTTCAAATGATTTACTCTATTGTCAATAAGACATACTTTACAGGTTTTTACACGTGTACTAATATTTATTTTTTTCACTGATTAGTCTCCAATAATTAATTTTATTTACCTCTAACAAAAAATATCGAAAATAATAAATGAGTTCTCTTAATTTAAGAGTACTCAATATTTGACTCAAATTACCCTCTTGGTAATTATTTAGGTGGAACCTTTTGCTCTTAGTTAAAATAAAAACATTATTATTATTTTTTAATTGTATTCTTAGTATTTAAAATACTTTTAAAGTAATTGAGTATTACTTAAATACTTTTGTATGAAAAGTATTCAAATAGTATTTTAAATACATTTTTTTTTAAATATTTGAGTATTATTTAAAATACTTTTTAAAAGTATTTTTTACAACTATGGAAGTTGGCATTGATACCAGTGAAGTAATTGATAATCTAAGTAAAAATAAGAGACGCCTAGATCTTATATTATAAATTTAGTTTTAAAGTTCAAAAATTGTTAATTTTACTAAAATTTTTAAAATATAAAAATATAAGAAATAAAGATCATGACATATTAAAATAGATCTTAATATCGTTGTATCTTCACAACAATTTATAGTCATTAAAAAAAAAAAATTTGGTTATCACTTATCAGTATTAAGTAATATAACATCTATATTCTATTATTAATCCTCTTTCTTAATTATAAAAAAAAAACCCAGCACAGTGGGGTCGCGGCATAGTGGGGATGTTGCATAGTTGGGTCCAGTATAGATTTAATCTGACAGTGATTAAAATCACTATCATAAGAAACGCTTCGATGCAAATCAGTAGATAGTGTTTAATTCTAAGAAATTGGTGGATAATTACAAAAGCTACATTATCTGCTAGTTTCTTATTAATACCCTGATTAAGATAAAGTATGTCGAATGAAAAAGGGATTATTAAAAAATATTATTTCTCATAAAAAAATTGTGTTGATTCGTACACTTTTCAATGAGTTATAGCATTATAAAGTTAAAAATGTAACCAACCCAACCCAACATCAACTCCTATTTCCTTAATTATATCCAGATTAGTAATTATTTTAATTATATATTATATAATTTTTATAATTAATTATTTTCAAATTATTATTGATTTTTAATATGTTAAAAGTAATCATTTTGAACCTACTTCTTTTTGTTCTTTAAAGTGAAAGTTTTAATAAAAAAAAAATGAATTTATTACCATAACTTTTAACTCAACTTGCAAGTTTGAAATAAATATTATTAAATAGAAAAAAATGAAATTGGTAGATTATTTCAAAAACAACAATAACACTTATTCCCTTAATTTTACCCCGATTTATAACTATAATATATGAATACATAATAATTACAGTAATTAAATTGAGTATGAAAGTGGTATTCAATAATATAATATTGTAATTTTTACGGAGATATTATAAAAATAAAAAGGAGTTGTATATTCATATACTTTTAATGCGTATACAAATTTAAAGGAATTTATGCAATACTTTTTAATAAAAAAATTTTGTTACTTATGAATAAATACACTAAACAAAAGGAACTTTCATCAGAAAAAAAATATACTTTTCTAAATAAACTTTTCGTGATGTTTTCAAATGTGCAATTAAACTTTTTCTATTACTTCTAAGTTTTAATATTATTACTTATTATTAAAAAATAAGTATTTACATATAAAAAAAAATAATTAAGAACAAAAAAAATTGTATTAAATTAATACTGATTTTGATTTTTAATATGTTAAAGGTAATCATTTTGAACCTATTTTTTATTGTCTTTTAAAGTGAAAGTTTTAATGAAAAATACCTTCTCAGCTTCGCATCGAAGCTAAAAAATGAATTTGTTACCATAACTTATAGTTCAACTTGCAAGTTTGAAATTGACATTATTAAATTGAAAAAAATGAAATTTTTAAGATTAATATGCAATCTGGAAATTTTATAATTACTAATTACAGTACATTTGTCAGAAAAATTCGATTTTTTTACATTTTTATCGTAATAGATAACTGAAATAGAAAGAATAGTAATCATATCCTAATAACTTTTGGTGTTTAAAAAAATTCTGCAATTGAAATATTCAGAACTTAATTAATTTTAATAATTTACTTTAATTAAATGAACCAATCAAACCAAAGTAGTTAAAAAGATTTACTCAATTGAGCATATTATCAAAAATATAATTATAATTGTAAAACTCCATCGTTAACTTCAGGTGAAACTAAAAATCATTTTTTTTTTAAATTTATGATTTATATAGCAAAATATTACTAAAAAATTTGGCATATTATAGACTGGTAGTAGCACACAGAAATAGAGTTAAAAAATTAATAAATTATAAAGTAAAATTATTTACTTTTGTAGTTGAATACTTTTATCATATCAAATTTAATTCGACAATAAATAATTTAAGAATATTAAAAATTAATGATTTTAATTGTTTGTATGGACAAATCTAGTTAAGCTACTTTTTATTTGAATAAGGAATATTTTTTTGATTTTTAAGAGTAATAACTTAAACTAATCATTAACTTAAATATCATAAACTTAAATGAATCATTTGACGTATCGTTGAAAAAAGTAGGTCTAGTGAGGGTTGGCAAAATAAATCGTAGCCAGAAAAAGAACCACATAGTAAAATAATATTAACATGAATATCAATTTCTTCTCACGAGGGGAGACTATAGTGATAAGATCCTTTATATTTATTGAAATTATTGAATCTAAATGAGATAAATATCAAATGATTTGAAAATTCTATTCTAACTCAAAAAAAAAATGCAAAATTTTAGAAGCCACAAACGGATTTGAACCTCGTACCCTAGGCGTTAAAGATCAAGGTGTTACCCATTCGGCAACTATTCGTTGATTTTTGTTGCATGATAAAATTGGCTATTTAAGCTAACTCAAATTTAAAAATTACTTTTTCGACTTTAAAAAAGTAAAAAATGTTAATAAGTATAATATCATATGTCTTATGAACTTTATTCTATGTCAATGAAATTATATAATATTCATGAAAGTCAGTTTATTCCCCTAATAAAATATTTTAAAATAAAATAAAATACAAAACCTAGAATTTTAATAAAAAATAGCATATTTTTAAATACGGTAGCCTTTTGCGCATAGAAGATAGGTCGTCGGGACAAATTTTTTTTTTTCATTTTATAGTACATAAAATAAGCTTTAATTTGATATATGTTTAAAGGACGCAGTATTTCCGGAACATTTTCAAAAATTAAGTTGAAAAAGTTAGTTTTTGTAAAAAAGTTGCAATTTTAAATCCCCCCCCATGAGCAGGTTAAGTGTTAAATTTTCAAAAAAATTATATCAAATGAAAGGAAAATATCTAAGGTTTTAGTTTAAAAAAAAATTATGTTGATTTGTTGATTTTTGAAAAAGTTATGGAAGTTTTAAGAAAAAAAAGTGAAAAAAATGACAAAATTTGTCGATTTTTAAATTTGTAATTTTTTTGGATATTTCCCCCATTTGCGGGGAACGAGGGAAAATTTTTAAATTTTTAAGGGTAATGTCTTCAACTAGATACAATTTGTGATCTTTTGACGTATTGTTAAAAGAAATCGGTCCAGTGAGAGCTGAGAAAAAGTAGTGACAGACACAAAAAAAATAAAAAAAAAAATAAAAAAAAAAATAAACACATCATGGTAAAATTAATACCTTCTCAGCTTCGCATCGAAGCTAAAATATAAATATCACACATATAGCCAATTATTTTATTTCCTTCATCTCTTCATTCTTTTTATTATTATAATTAATATCCTTTACTTTCTTTTTTATGACATACTAAAGTTTCAAATTTCAAATTACTTGTCAATTCCCAATACAGTAATTTGAAAATTAGTAATTTTTATTTACGTCAATAAACATTTTTACAATTTTTGTTTGTGAGGTTCATTAAATGTTGGACACCCCCCGAGAAATCATTCAAAATACGCCACTGTGCTGACGACGTAGTTCTTTTAGGGAATACGCGAGAAGATTTTACCCGCTCGGTTTCTAAACTAATGGAAGCTAGTAAAAATAAAGTTTATGTATCAATGAAGAAAAAACTGAACTTATGATATTATCTAGAAGAAACCTAGACCATTCAAACCTGAAAGTAGGAAANAAACCTAGACCATTCAAACCTGAAAGTAGGAAATATGACTTTCGAAAAGGTGGATAATTTCAAATACTTAGGTGTTAATATAAACAGCAGTAACAACATGCATACGGAAATAAAAGAAAGAATATCGAATGGAAATAAATATTATTTTAGCATAAACAAGCTATTACGATCAAAACTGCTATCAAGAAAGTCAAAAACCACACTGTACACAAGCTATCTTAGGCCAATAGTAACCTATGGATGTGAGACTTGGTCCACGACAAAAGATGACAATAGAAAACTTGCTAAAAAAGCTTGACACGCGGATGGTATTGGTCAGTCAAAATAAAAATTTGTTTATATATATATAATATTGATGACAAGCACGTGTGTACGGGTACGATAACTAAAAATAAATTTTTATAGGAATAGTGTGCCGTCGAGTGGCGAGCGAGGCGTGGGGAGGGGTGAATGCGTTACGACAGTCTAGTCTCAAGGCCATAAACGACGGGATACGTGATAACGCGTGGCGTTTGGAGAGTTACATACATACAGTTGAAACTAATATAAGCGTGTTAAAAATAAATATAGTTTAAAAAAACTAAAAAAACACGCTTTTAAAGCACATCGAACTAAAAAGTTAAAAATAATTTTTAAAATAAGTTTAAAATAATTATGAACAAAAAATACTAGTATTATAGTGATAAAAGCGTCGGGCGCTCAATATACGAAAAATATGACACAAAGCACCCACGCTTTTATCACAATAATACTAGTATTTTTTGTTCATTATTGTTTTAAGTTTATTAAATAATAAATAATAATNAATAATGCGACTTAAGTACGTAAACGTATCATGCACTAGGTATAACCGTATTTTGTGGGCGGGCGGGTCGGACTAACGTTATATCTGAGATATAAACAGCGGTAGGAATATATAAATATATATACGTAAGGCGCATTAGACGCGGGCGTTATTGGTCAGTCAAAATAAAAATTTGTTTATATATATATAATATTGATGATAAGCACGCGTGTACGGGTACGATAACTAAAAATAAATTTTTATAGGAATAGTGTGCCGTCGTGTGGTGAGCGAGGCGTGGGGAGGGGTGAATGCGTTACGACAGTCTAGTCTCAAGGCCATAGACGACGGGATACGCAATAACGCGTGGCGTTTGGAGAGTAACATACATACATACATACAGGTGAAACTAATATAAACGTGTTAATTATATTGATTTGATCATTTTTGAAAAATTAGCGATTTTTAAATTTGTAATTTTTTTGGATATTTCCTCCATTTGTGGGGAACGAGGGAATTTTTTTCAATTTTTGTGGGTAATGTCTTCGACTAGATACGATTTGTGATCTTTTGACGTATCGTTGAAAGAAATCCGTTCGGTGAGAACTGAGAAAAAGTGGTAACAGATACACAAAAAAAAAACACATCATGGTAAAATTAATACCTTCTCAGCTTCGTATCGAAGCTACAAACATATCATGGAAAAACCTTCTCAGCACTGCATCAGAGCTAAAAATATCATAGTAAAACTAATATTTTTTTAAATATGCAACAAAGTTAAAGAAATGTTTTTATCTTACAGATGTATAACTCTTTTTGATTACTTACAGCAACTTTAGAAATCTTAATAAATTTTTCATTAAATACTAAAACTTTAAATGAAAAGGATACGGCAATGATGATCCATTTTGAGAATACATTTGTTACAAATAGAACAATGATGTGTTCGAGGAGGTTTTGGCAGTTCACATTTTTTGCAAATAACTATATCATTTAACATCAAAGTACTCTGTAACATGATAAACACCAGTGAAAATATACATAAGACTTATAAAATCCAATGCGTAAAAAATTAATATATAATTTATAGTTTTAAAAAGCTACAATCATTTTGAATAATAATAATTAATATCTTATATGTGTAGGTAAAATGTACATATTTTTGTATGAAGTTAATAGCAAGGCATTTTATTAAACATTGTAAAAATGATATAATAAACACAAAAGTAACTTAATTAATAACAATAATAGCATTTATTTTCTGTAAATCCCTGAAGTAAGTTAAATTAAAAAATAGCAACAAAAATGAATTACTAAACTTTCCTTAAAGTTTTATGCTTACTGTAACATTTGCAAAAGAAAAAACCAATTATCGTAACAGTAATGGGTTAAGATAACACCACTGTAGATTTTTCAAAAAATCTATTTTTTTTTTATTTTCTTAAAAAATATTTTGAAGCCTATAGAATATAAGAAAAAAACTTGCAGACTCGAAAAAAATTTTTTTTTATTAAATATTGTTTATATGGCATTAAATACACAAAAAAAGAAGATAAATTTTCGCACTTGGAAGGGCAGTTTTACGGTCCTGGGATTGCAAATTAATGGTAAACATTTTTAATACTTGAATATTTCATTTTTTCACTTCTTAAACTTGTTTTAAAACTGTGATGGTGTCACGATACTACTATTGTAGTACATTTCCATAAATACACAATGAGAATTTTTTATTATAAACCATTTAATTAATAAAAAATATTAAAATTTTTTTTTTAAATGCATTTCTTAATATATCAACTATAAAGTATTTTTAAGTTCACCTTATGTCCTATGGGGCCGTTCATAAAATACGTTCGCATGCAAGGGGTGTAGGGATCTTGCTAAATGTGACAAGGGGGGACGGGGGGTCTACGGCAACGTCACGTTCGCCGTTCATTAAAACATTTTAAATTAGTACTTTCGACTATTTTTCTTTTTCAATTTTTATCATGATAGAAAGTCATTCATTTCGTAATTAGTAAATATATAAACTTTTGAACGTATATAGTTTTAATACAATAAATTGTAACTTGACATATTTACTTATGTTTATTTTTCGACATAAGCGCTAGCTCTTATATAACGTTTCCACGTATCCTGCGCTCTTGACTCAAAAACAAATGAAAATAGTGTTTCTCATGTATTTAATATTATATTATTCCTTCATTTAGCAGTGAACTAATACAGATGCTTTTTTCAAATTTCTCAGTTTAATACTTTTTATTACGTGAACTATTTGAACCGAAATTGGTAACTCCTGGATTTAATAGTTGAGATTTATATAAGAAAAAAAATGACATCGGTAAGAGGTGAACTTTACCAAAAATTATTTAACACTTATAAAAAGTGTTATCCTGATAAAAAATCAACTATTGTACAAGAAAATGTCAATAAGATTTGGAACGATTTCAAGTAAAAGTACAAAAATTATGGCAAGCAATTTGAAGTGAATATTCAAAATAATATTGAATCCTTAAATCAGAAGATAACTCAGAACACAGCAAGAAATTTATCGTTTTTTACAAGTCTTAAGGTAAGTCAAGAAGTTTTTTTGTACCTGGTTTATATTTACTATTATCTAGATTACATCAATACAACTCGTTGTTTATATTATTTTACTATTCTGAATAATTTTTATGTGTGCATGATTTTGATGCATCGATAATTAAGATCATAAGAGATAAGAAAATTAAATAATTTCGGTGTAGAATTATAGTGTAAACCAGCCTGTATAAGTCTCTATTTTATTGAATCAGTTTTAATATATACTTGTAATTAATTTTTTGTTTTTTTAGTCACAAAATACAGTCAAAGATGGTTCTCAACCGTCAGCGAGTAAAGAAGATCTTCCAAAAAACAGTCTCTACTGAAAAAATTTTACCTCGTGAAGAACAAATATGCAATTCAAAAACTGCTACACCCGCCCAAGATGTAAGCAGAAAAAAAATTTCAGTTATGGAATCAAGCTTAAATTCACTACTTCTACAAAGAGATTCTGGATTGTCTACATTTGGACTTGATAAATAAATTAAAAAGTTAAAAGAAAAAATAGAAACTGAAAAAAAATCTCTCAAGCGTAATCAATTAGCTTAACAAAGATTATCGAAATCCCGTGCAACAAAAAAAAAAGCTTGAGGATGTTTGTCTTGAGCATCCGGATGTCGCAGAAAAATTAAAAATAAGAAGCAATGCTGGTCGGCCGAGCTTAGAAGAGGATCAACCAGACATATTGCAAACTATCATAAAAATTGCCATCTTTGGTAGTTCTGCTGATGAACGACGTAGAACTGAGACAGTAAGAAGCTGTAAAAATTTAGATCAGTTACACGAGCAATTAAAAACTTTGGATTTTCAACTGAGTAGGAGTGCTACGTACTTACGACTTTTACCACGGAATTCATTTTCTTGTGAAGGAAAAATACATATATTCTACAGTTCCAGTAAAATTAATTCGTGCTCAAAATGACCTAAAGAAAAACACATTGATACAGAATTTGTGACAGCTTCAATTAGATATTTAGAGAGTCTTGCTTCTTTTCTTGGACCTAATGAAGTATTTTTTCTCTCACAGGATGATAAAGCCCGAGTTCCGATCGGACTCACAGCAACTTTAAAACAAACACCATTATTAATGCACATACAATATTGAGTTTCTCTTCCAGACCATGACTGGGTAGTGGCTACTAGACATAAATTGATACCGTCTGTATACGCTGGTATTGTTATTGAACCAAATGGTTTTGGAAATCCTTCAAAAGTAACCTATTCAGGACCAACATTTATAGCTATTCGGAGTGGCAAGCATTCTAGTTCAACTGCCAAGACACATACCAATGATTTCAAAAAAATTTTTGCACTGGAATCATTTAAAAGTTTGTATTTAATAGTTGCAGTCACCAACTAGCAACCATCACTCCGAAAGCTTTTCAAAAAATTTATACCCAATAAAAGAGTAATGACTAGTCTTTTTAATAAAAAATAAATTTGTTTGATTCATTTATTTTTAAATAAAATATAACCATTTTGAATAAAATAAGTTAAAAATGTCGAAAATTACCGATTTTCAAAATCGTAATTTTTTAGAGGATTTCTCCATTTACGAAGAACAAAAAAAAATTCTCAATATTATACTATTTTAGCTTTAAAGCTATTGGTTTTCCTCGGATGCGTCTTTATTTTTGTATCTGTCTTTAAAAATACTCTTATCCAATTGAATAGATTTTACTAAACAATACGCCAAAAGATCACGAATCGCATCTAGTTGAATTATTGAGCATCATACATTGGAAAATTTAAGTAATTAAAGAAAATGACCAAAATATTATAAATGTTATAAAACAGTTAATATTTTTAGTTTTGATTTATTATTATATTACTTTTAGTTGAAAAAAGAAAAACTATTCAAAACCTTGATATCGAAATACTATCAGTCATTAAAGCCAAATATCATGCAACTAGCAGTAAAAATAGTATATTTTGAAGTGTTTTGAATTGAATAAAGAATCTGCGACATTTAAAAACTAAATCAAATAAAAGTTTATATATTATAGTATACAATTAAAATAATAAAGACGTCGACAATTTGTTTTATATGATTAATCGGTGCCTTAAGTTAAATTAAAAATTTATTTCAAACAAATGATCGCGACTCGAGGCGTTTTACTATAGTAATATTAATCACTGTGAAATATCAATAAATACTAATCTTATGAAGTCTTAACTGAATCACGACTTCAATTTTTCAAATAATTGTTTTATGATAACAAAATTACTCTGTATATTGTATATTACAAGTATATAATATTTACACGAATTAATTTTACTTAAATTATATAATTAAACAATAAATGGTAAGACTTTAGAGTAAAGACTTTAGTAGTTTGCTGTGCCTACTAAGGTTACACTAGATTTAAAATACACATTTAATCCTATTTTGACAAAAAATCAAAATCAATGGGCTTACAACTTTCCTAACACAAAAAGATCAATAATTAATGGGCAAATATATTACTTTGCGGATGGAAATTGTTCAACCACCACATACCCAACATCACAAATATAAAATTTCTATAAAAAAAATACTACTAAAAATAATGAAAATAACTTACAGAAGTTGGAAAACCAGGAAGTGTCACAACACCCATGTAATAATTAAACACAACATTTATAAGTAACCAATTTCCAATTATTAGTAAACATACTGTATGTAATCTATTTTTATTCCACCAGTATGGAAGACCAACACAGTATGCAACAATTACTACAAATGTTGTTAAAATAACAACTAATACTACCATAACCTATAACATATAAAAAAATATTGATAGTTATATTTTTTCAAATCAGATTGATCTATATATCATAACCTAATCAATTAATTAAAAACCACAATAGATGCAATTATCACGTGATCGTAATGTGTAAAAAATAATTTTCAATCAAAACTTACATTAGTTATTTCAGTTATCATAAATGAATTCTTTCGTGACAATAAAATAAGAAAATTAATAATAATAATAAACTAAATTTATTTCAATTAATAATATGTTTGAGCGTATTTAGCTTCGATGAGAAGCTGAGAAGGTATTAATTCAAAATGACAACTTTTTCAATTTAACTTTTGAAAGTGTTCCGGAAATACTAACACTTTTATATATACCTTAAAAAATTAAAGCTAATGTAATGTACTTTATTATGGAAAAAAAAAATTCGGACTTTATTTTGTTTTTACAGTGAAAATAGATATTACAGTTAACAAAAAAAAAACCCAGCACAGGGGGGACGCTGCACAGTGGTGACGTGACATATTTGGATCAAGTATAATGATTTCTGACAGTGATTAAAATCACTATCATAAAAAACGCTTCGATGCAAATCTTTAGATAGTGTTTAATTTTAAAAAATAGGTGGATTATTCCAAAAGCAACATGATCTGCTAGTTCGTTATTAATATCCTGATTCAGATAAAGTATATCGAATGAAAGAGGGATTATTAAAAATTATTATTTCTCATAAAAAAATTATGTTGATCCATACACTTTTCAATAAGTTATAGCATTATAAAGTTAAAAATAAAAAAATAAAATCGAGAATTTTCACACAAAAATAGCATTCGGTAGCCAATTTCACCCTGAAGACAAAATAAATTACGGAATTTTTTTTTGCCATAATAAAGTGCATTACATTAGCTTTAATTAAAGATATATATAAAAATGTCAGACTTTCCGGAACACTTTCAAAATTTAAGTTGAAAAAGTCAATTTTTTGTGAAAAAGTTGTCATTTTGAATCCCCCCCTGTAGGCAGGTAAAAAGTCAGATTTATAAAAAAAATATACCAAATGATAGGTAAAGACATCATGCATCTACAAAAAAAAGAATTATATTGATCCATACATCTTTCGAAAAGTTATAGCATTATAAAGTTAAAAATATAAAAAAGAATTTTTTTACAAAAATCGTATTTTTTTTATTAAGTTTAATGTCTGTTTTCACCATGAAGATAAAATAAAGTCCGAAATTTTTTTTTACCATTATAAAGTATATTACATTAGCTTTAATTTAAGATATATATAAAAGTGTCAGACCTTCCGGAACACTTTCAAAAGTTACGTTGAAAAAGTTCTACTTTCTATATGCATTTTTATGTTTTGAATCCCCCCTGTATTTAGGGAAATGGTCCGATTTAAAAAAACAGTATGTCGAATGAAAGATCTATATAAATACTACTTCTCATAAAAAAATTGTAATGATTCATACATTTTTCAAAAAGTTATAGCATAATAAAGTTAAAAATGGAAAATACAAAATCGAAAATTTTCACACAAAAATAGCATTCGGTAGCCATTTTCACCATGAAGATAAGATAAAGTCCGAAATTTTTTTTTTTCATGATAAAGCATATTACATTAGCTTTAATTTAAGATATATATAAAAGTGTCAGACCTTCCGGAACATTTTCAAAATTTAAGTTAAAAAAATTAATTTTTTGTGAAAAAGTTGTCATTTTAAATCCCCCCTTGTGGGCAGGTTAAGGGTTAAATTTATGAAAAAAATATACCAAATGAAAGGTAATGATATTATGCATCTATATAAAAAAGAATTATATTGATATGTTTATTTTTGAAAAAGTTATGGCACTTTTAAGTAAAAAAAATTGAAAAAATTTCGAAAATTAGCGATTTTTAAATTTGTAATTTTTTTGGAGGTTTCCCCCTTTTACGGGGAACGAGGGAATTTTTTTCAATTTTTAAGGGTAATGTCTTCGACTAGATACGATTTGTGATCTTTTGACGTATCATTGAAAGAAATCGGTTCGGTGAGAGCTGAGAAAAAGTGGTAACAGACACAAAAAAAAAAACACATCATAGTAAAACCAATACCTTCTCAGCTTCGCATCGAAGCTAAAATGTAAAATACAAAATCGAGAATTTTCACACATAAATAGCATTCGGTAGCCAATTTCACCATGAAAAAAAATAAAGTCCGAAATTTTTCTTTTTAATATTAAAGTATATTACATAAGCTTTAATTTAAGATATATATAAAAGTGTCAGTATTTCCGGAACACTTTCAAAAATTAAGATGAAAAAGTTTTACTTTCTACATGCATTTTTAAGATTTAAACCCCCCTTGTATATAGGGAAATAGTCCGATTTAAAAAAAAAGTATGTTGAATGAAAGATGTACATAAATGCTACTTCTCATGAAAAAATTGTGTTGATCCATACATTTTTCAAAAAGTTATAGCATTTTAAAGTTAAAAATGTAAAATACAAAATCGAAAATTTTCACACGAAAATAGCACTCGGTAGCCATTTTCACCATGAAGATAAAATAAAGTCCAAAATTTTTTTTTTCCATAATAAAGTACATTACATTAGCTTTAATTTAAGATATATATAAAAGTGTCAGATCTTCCGGAACATTTTCAAAAGTTAAGTTGAAAAAGTTAATTTTTTAAAAAAGTTGTCATTTTAAATCCCCCCCTGTGGACAGTTAAAGGATCAGATATAACAAAAAAATATACCAAATGAAAGGTAATGATATCATGCATCTATATAAAAAAAAATTATATTGATATGTTCATTTTTAAAAAAGTTATGGCAGTTTTTAGTAAAAAAAATTGAAAAAATTTTGAAAATTAGCGATTTTTAAATTTGTAATTTTTTTGGAGGATTCCCCCATTTACGGGGAACGAGGGATTTTTTTTCAACTTTTGAGGGTAATGTATTCGACTAGATACGATTTGTGATCTTTTGACGTATCATTGAAGAAATCGGTTCGGTGAGAGCTGGGAAAAAGTGGTAACACACAAAAAAAAAAAAAACATATCATAGTAAAACCAATACCTTCTCAGCTTCGCATCGAAGCTAAATTACGATTTTTTTAAAAAAATTCTTTTTTATATTTTTAACTTTATAAGGCTATAACATTTTGAAAAATATATGGACCTTTATGATTTTTTTTATAAGAAATAATATTTATATACTTCTTTTATTTGACATACCTTGTTTTTATATAAAAACATTTCCCTTTATATATTAATTCATACATTACACTCATAAATCATAAAACTTGTAATCAGTATATAAATAAGGAATTAGGAGATATATAACAAAAATAACTTATAATGTTAAAAATATAAAAAAATTTTTTTTACACTAATCGTATTTTCACCATAAAAACAAAATAGTCTGAATTTTTATTTTTCATAATAAAGTACATTACATTATCTTTAATTTAAGATATATATAAAAATGTCAGACTTTCGGAACACTTTCAAAAATCAAGTTGAAAAATTAAATTTTTTATGAAAAAGTTGTCATTTTGATTCCCCACAGTGGGCATGTGAATAGTCAGATTAAAAAAATATATATACCAAATAATAGGTAGTAATTATAAAAAAAAAATTATATTGATCCATACATTTTTCAAATAATTATAACATTATAAAGTTAAAAATATAAACAAAAATTTTTTTTACAAAAATCGTATTTTTTTTATAAACTTTGATGTCTGTTTACACCATGAAGATAAAATAAAGTCCAATTTTTTTTACCATAATAAAGTACATTATATTAGTTTTAGTTTAAGATATATATAAAAATGTCAGACTTTCGGAACACTTTCAAAAGTCAAGTTCAAAAAATTGTCAATTTGTCATCTTGACGTTGCTGGATTTTTAATGTTTCTATATAAAATATAATAATTATGTCGCATTAATCTCTCAATGTAGAATACATATCACTATCGAAAATATTTGAATCAACCTTAATTATATTTTGTAGAACTTATTTTAGCTTTGATGTGAAGCTGAGCAGGTATTAATTTTACTATGATGTGTTTTTTTTTATGATGAAATAAGTTTGAGGGACAAGAGATCAAAAAAAGAACAAGTAATACAAGAAAATGAAAAAAAAATTTCATATTCTATAGAATTCTATAAAAAAACAACGTTATTATTATCTTAATCAAATTAAAGCTTATTTAATGTACTATACGATTAAAATATGCAAACGCTTTACCGATTTTTCTTTTTTTTAGAAATTGGCAGTTAAGTAATTGCGAAATTTTTGTTAAAATTTGAGTAATGAGTAAAATTCTCATCTTCGCGTCGAAGCTAATATAAGAAATCATGTCTCTATGACCACTCAATACACTAGAATTTATGATCTCCCGAGACATGTTTTGATGCGCCGAAAAAAGTACTTGGGCGCCCTCTTCATTTCATTATGTACTGACTTAATAATTTGTAAAATAAATAATAAAAACGGTAGCACAGTGGGGTTGAGGCACAGTGTAGACAAGGCATAGATGGGAAAAGTATAGATATACTATAAAAGTATAGATGATATTTGACAGTAATTAAAATCACTATCATAAGAAACGCTTCGATGCAAATCTGTAGATAAGATAGTGTTTCATTTAGAGAAATTGGTGGATTATTCCAAAAGCAACATCAACTCTTATTTCTTTGATTATATCCTAATTAGTAGTTCTTTGATTTTTAAATATAATATATCAATAAATACTAATTATAATTATTAAATTTAGTATGAAATTGATATTCAATAATTTAATATTGTAATTTAAACGGAGAAATTATAAAAATAATAAAGAAGTTGTATTTTGCTTTATTTTTACGTGTATAAAAATTTAAAGGGCTTGATACAATAAATTTCAATAAAAACTGTTTGTTACTATAAATAAATGCAATGAACTACAAGGAACTTTCATCAGTAACAAAAATATACCATTCTAAATCAACTTTTCGCGATGTTTTCAAATCTGACATTAGACTTTTTCTATCACTTCTAAGTTTTAATATTATTAAAAATTAGTATTTACATATAACAAATTCGCAGCGAAGCTAAAAAATTGGCTATTTAAGCTAACTCAAATTTAAAAATTACTTTTTCGACTTCAAAAAAGTAAAAAAATTTTAATAAGTTTATTTTCTTATGTCTTATGAACATTATTTNAAAGTAAAAAAATTTTAATAAGTTTATTTTCTTATGTCTTATGAACATTATTTTATGTCAATTAAATTATAAAATATTCATGAAAGTCAGTGTATTGCCCTTATAAGATATTTTAAAATAAAATAAAATACAAAACCCAGGATTTTAACACAAAAATAGCATATTTTTGAATACGGTAACCATTTGCGCATAGAAGATAGGTCGTCGGGACAAATTTTTTTTTTTTATTTTATAGTACATAAAATAACCTTTAATTTGACTTATGTTTAAAGGACGCAGTATTTCCGGAACATTTTCAAAAATTAAGTTGAAAAAGTTAGTTTTTGTAAAAAAGTTGCTATTTTAAATACCCCCCAATGAGCAGGTTAAGTGTTAGATTTTCAAAAAAAAATGATATCAAACTATATACGGTTTATTTTTGATAGTGATTAAAATCAGTTTTAAGTATAAAAAAGTGAAAAAAATAACAAAATTTACCGATTTTTAAATTTGTAATTTTTTTGGATATTTCCCCCATTTGTGGGGAACGAGGGAAAATTTTTCAATTTTTAAGGGTAATGTCTTCAACTAGATACGATTTGTGATCTTTTGACGTATTGTTGAAAGAAATCGGTCCAGTGAGAGCTGAGAAAAAGTGGCAACAGACATAAAAAAAAAAAACACATCATAGTAAAATTAATACCTTCTCAGCTTCGCATCGAAGCTAAAATTAAGTAGACACATTTATAAGTAAAAAAGGTATGAACCAAAAAGTTATTTAATAATTGATCAATTTAAAAGCATATGTAATTATAAAAAAAGAAAAAAAGTATTTCCATAATTTTTTTAAAGTTATTTCGGTGTGTTATGATAAACAGATCTTTTTTTTCTTATTAGTATTTTACCAGCTTTTACTTACTTTACTTAATATCAATGTATACTTATCAACAAATTTAAATAATGGTGTCAAACATAAATCATAAGTTAGTTCCCAACTTAAACATTCTTTATTAATACAGTTGAAGAATAAATACTTTAAGTAATGCCATGTCTTTTTTACTTTCAATCTGGAAAAATAATGATTTTCTTTAATAAAATATAGATTATGTAGTTAATTCTAATTAAAATCACTATCAAAAATAAACGCTTCTGTGGAGTTCTAACTTTGGAGTTACAAACTTACAAACGACAAACAACATACATGTGACACTAATATAAGCGTGTTAAAAAAGAGATTATTAAAAAATATTATTTCTCATAAAAAAATTGTGTTGATCCATACACTTTTCAATAAGTTATAGCATTATAAAGTTAAAAATTAAAAAAAAAAAAATCGAGAATTTTCACACAAAAATAGCATTTGGTTGCCATTTTCACCACGAAAACGAGTCCAGAGGTCAATTTTTTTTTTTTTATATTAAAGTATATTACATAAGCTTTAATATAAGATATATATAAAAGTGTCAGACATTCTGGAACATTTTCAATAGTTAATTTTTTGTGAAAGAGTTGTTATTTTAAATCCGCTCCTGTTGGCAGAGAAATTGTAGGGAAAATATCAAGTCTTATTATTAGTAAATTACGTATTTAAAAATCAACATAGGTTACAAAATAATGTACGACGCCAGCCTATAACTAAAAATTATAACTCAAAAAATAATAATCAATACTGATTATGAACCTGTAAATATTTTATCTAGAACATTTTCCATTTAATGTAAAAAAATTGATAATAAGAACACATTTAACTTTTAAAATTTACACCTAAAGTCTACCCTTAGAAAAATTTTTACCTTATAATAAACTTGATATTTTAAATGGTCTATAAAAATTAATTAAATTTTAATCTATAAATTTATGAATAAATCATTATTCGACAAAAAAAATAGGAGATAGTATACTCGATAAATGACCCTGATAATAGTGTTATAAAATTAATATCAGGGATTTGAAAAACTATAGTTTTATAAATATAAATTTTAATGCAACTTTTTTTTTTATATACTTCTTGTAACTTAAATTTGTTCACAGTAACTAACAATACTAAAGGATTCTTAATTTAACATTTCCATATTTTGAGACAGTGATATGTAAACATACCTCTACATAAAAACCCAGAAAAAAATCACATTTAGTAATATTATATGACTAGGTTAATAGTGGTAAAGAAATTATTCTACAAGTTGGAAATATTCAATTAATATTATCTGTTTTACATAAAACAGATAGAAAATTACTATACTCAACATTAATAAAGTAAATAAAATGTTGATACTATTATTGTAGACATAGTGATTAAAATAAAATACCTACCAAGTAAATATAAAAATTAAATTTTAAACATCAATTACATCAATCATCAATCAACAATAAAGGATTATAGCTCTTTAAAACCTCAATATTCAATTTACTAAATATGATTTAAAACAGAAAGTCATTAATTAATATTTTTGAAGGGCCATATTAGGAATCTAGAAATTTTTCACAAGCCATTAAAGTTTAAAGTACATGTATTTAACATACAATGACATAATATGTATGATAATAAAATGTCGAAAAGCTGTGTAAAATTGATCTACAGGCCACCATTTAATAACTTCTAATTTAAAATGTAGTATATAATCTCTAATTAATTATCTAGAAAAATTATCTTTGTAAAATGAAAAAAATTAATAAAACTTTCAAACATAAAATAATTACTATAAATTATTAATTTTTTTGTATAAAATTTAGCTTACTTGATCATTTTTACATAGTATGGCATTTTAGTAAGAGATATAAAATCAATGTAGTAACTTGGAAAAATAAATCATTTTAATAAACATTCATGTATTAAAAATACTAAACACATGAAGTACTAAGCAATTTATATTAGGCTGCTTACAATTGAGAAAATTATTGATTATCCAAATTAAAAAAAGATATATTAGCGTTAGATAGAATAAGCCTTATAACTTTCAACAAATGTATAATTTATCATGGAGTCACAATAAAATGTTGATTGAAAGTTGATTTAAACTGTAATTTTTTTTTTAATTTTGTGAAAACTAATGAAAATTTGAGACTTGTACAGTGATAAACAAGACTCAACCTGAAGATGAATATTAGGTCTTCATTAAGCCTAATAATTAACAACATAAAGTTAATACAACAATTCAAATTAAAAAAATCAATCACGTTAATCCATCAAAATTAATAAACAGTACTATTAAATATTGTTTATCTATCTCGGTGTATCAATCTTATATTTTTGTTTTTATAGACATTTTGTTATCAATACATTTTTTTATTATCTATATGCTAAGTCCATAAATATATATATACATATAAACAAAAGGAGTAACAAATTATATAATCACCACTAAAGTTGCGCATGTTTAGCGGCGCTTACGTGCCAAATTTTAAAACTTTCGGTGTTTTCTCCGTTATGAAATTTAAATTATAAAACTAATTAAAAAATTTTTTTATGTTCAAGTAATTTTAACTGGATTCATATTTCTCTAACTATTATTTTTATTATTTATTAGTATTTTAAATAAACGTAAAACATTTTAATACATTTTGAAACATCAACTTTCATTTCAAAAAGTGAAAGTATTCTTGCATTAATGATCATCGTTCATTTGTATTTAACATGAATAGTAAAAGCGTTTCGAGATAATTTTATATGTAATAAAAACAATTGAATAATCGAAATCTTCAAATTTATTCATCAATAATTCTAAATACTACTAGTATATTAATATTTTAAAGTATTATTGTTCCATATGGATACCAAAAATTCAAGAAATATTAGCTATGTTGTTTTTATATCTCTTTTGTTTGACTTACTGGCATTTACAATGATATTACCATTGTTTCCCTCATTAATGGATTATTATAAAAACAATGATTCTGAAGGATTATATCAATGGATCGAAAGACATGTTGGTGTTTTTCAAAATCTTGTAGGAATTCCAGATAGATTTAATGGCGTGCTATTTGGTGGTAATATATTCTTAAAATTATATTTTTGCTATAGTATTATTAAAAATATTGTTTTAGGTGTTCTTGGATCACTTTTTTCATTTTTGCAATTTGCCTCTTCTCCTATTTTGGGAGGAATTAGTGATGTGTATGGTCGTAAGCCAGTTTTAATATTATGTTTGGTTGGTAATACATAATATTAAATACTTTCAATGGGTTATTTTGATAGTTTTAGTTTTTTTTAGATTGGGATACTATTTTCTTATATTATTTGGTCAAGAGCGACAACTTTCTCATTATTCATATGGGCTAGAGTTATTGGTGGACTAAGCAAAGGTAATGTCAGTTTATCTATGGCTATCGTAACAGATGTGTATTCAAAGGAAAAACGTGGAAGAGGAATGGTAATTAAATATACAAATATATATACTTATGTATATAGTTGGTTTAGTAAGAAAATTAATAACTTTTGTTTTTATTATTACTACCATTTACCAATTATAATTGATATGTCAGTGTAAAATTTAAGATATTAGATGTATTTTTCCATTTTTTTAGGTAAGCTGTTTGCAATATTTTTAAAGTATTTGTTATTACTTATTCAATTTAAACTAGTGGCTCAAATATTGAGCTTTTACTTTTCAAATTTATATACAATTTATTTTAAACAAATTGTTATACATTTATACAACTAACTCAATTTTGTCAAACATGCACTTAAATATTAAAATTTAAGTTTACATTAATGTAAAATAACTTATTAATTGTGCTCTTGCAATATCTTCAAGTATATTAAGTAAAATGAAATACTTTATTTATAATAGTTTTAAATTTTCTTTTGTACTATAAATTAACAAACATTTTGTATATCCCCTCAACTTATTCTTTTAAACAGTATTTACTTATATTGGGTGTCCAGTAATTTTGAAATAGAGTATTGTTCATATTGCTAGTAACAATTTACCTGTCTCCTTACTTATTGAACATCTGTATATTGTATTATAATATTGTGCAAGTTATTGGTAAAAGATTTAATATTAGAATTTTCAAAAAATAAGTTGTATTTTACAAATTATTAAAATGTTGAAGTTTTATGGATTTGTTATACTTTTTTTAACATAAACTAGTGGGACCTTATGTGAATGCTTAGTGTTGATGAATTGATTTTAAATAAGTATTTAAATCTAACATTGTTGTTTTTTAAAGTAATTGTTTACTAACTAATTTTTAATCTTTTGATAATTGAATTATGAATAATAAATAATTTAATTTAATTTCCAGGCAATGATAGGCATAGCATTTTCAATTGGTTTTGTATTAGGACCTATGATTGGAGCTGCATATGCTAAATGGTCACATTCCCAAGAAGGAGCATGGTTTGTTCAGCCTGCTTTATTAGCTGTTGCATTAACTGTCATCAACATTATTTTCGTGATATTTACTTTTAAAGAAACTCTACCTAAGGTTTTTTAATATAAATATGTACAATACTAAATTTAATACTTTTATACTTAGTTTTATTTGTAATATTTTTTTAGAATAATCGAGCTGGTTCAGTTGTTAGTAAATTATCTGAAGCTTTTACTTACATCAATATAGTAGATCTTTTCAAATTCAAACTTCTTAATGGACTTATTCCATCACATGGTATGTCATATAATATTAGTTTGGTAATTTTACTATTAACAAAAAAAAATAATCTTCAGTTTAAAATAATAACAAACAATTCAAGTTCAAATATTAATACTATTTATATTTTTTGGATTTCAATATTATTTTTTTACAATATTTTCATTCTAAAACATATTTATTTTCAGGGTAATTCTTTAAACATGCTCTACTGAATTTCTCATTAAGTTTTAATTATGAGGTGAATTTTGTTTTAAGTATCTTTGTGATATTTCTTTAGCTTTGTATTGATAAGTATTTTTTAAACCATTTTCTTATGTTTTATAAGATAATTAACTTATTTAGAAAGGAACCATTTACTACATTGACTCCCCGGTCCAAAACTCCAACAACAAAAAATTTAGATATTGAGTTTGATCACCAAGTTGTATTCATTATTAAACATTTAGAGTTTATAAATCTTTCTCAATATAGCAATATTGTAAAGTATTTTCCAAAATATATTATTTTTAAAATTTAATTTTACATTGGAAGTAACATAAAATTCTTTTTAAATCATTATATTAGAAAATTCGATTTTTGAAGTTGTTGCAGTTTTTAACTAAGCTATTGATATCTAGAACTAAAAATTTTTAGTAGTTATTTATTTTGTTCAAATAATTCTTAAAGACATTACTGTGTCACCATTTTTAATTGAACTTATAATAAAGTTAATACAACAGCATGTGATAGTTAAAAATAAAAAAATTATAATTTTAATTAATTAAATAAATCAGATTTTGTTTGTTTATTTAGAAATCGAGAAATTATGTACATTAGGAAATATTTATTTTATTTATTTATTCCTTTATTCTGGTTTGGAATTTACGTTGACTTTTTTAACACATAACAAATTTGGATATTCTTCTATGCAACAAGGTTGGATGTTTTTTGGTATAGGAATTACAATGGCACTTTTACAAGGAGGATGGGTTAGAAAAATTCCTCCATCTCAAACAGCTAAAACTGCAACTATGGTAGTATATATTTTAATATTATTTTTTATCAGTTGAATGTAATTTTTTTTTTTTTAATTAAGGGTCTACTACTAATTGTGCCATCTTTTCTATGTATTGGAATATCAAACTCTTCATCTTTATTTATTTTTGGACTAATTCTTTTTGCATTTTGTGAGTGAACAACTTTTTTATTAATAACTTTATTTTAATTTAAAACTGTATTTTTTCTAGCAACTTCTATTGTTGTTCCATGTATGACAACTTTAGCATCTCACTATGGATCTGATGCTCATAAAGGAAAAGCTATGGGAACATTTCGTTCTTTAGGAGCTTTAGCTCGTGCCATAGGTCCTGTTATTGCTTCATTATGTAAGATTTTCATTCAACATTTTTTTTTGAGATTTTGTATGAAGTGTGATATGCTTTATTGCATAAAAAGACGTAAAATATAAAAATTTAATAGTTAATGATAAACAAATGTCTTTTATATAGGAATTGTTCCATAAAAAAAATCAATTTCTTTTATAAATTTCCCAATCATTTTCATATATAACTACATGAAGTATTTTATTACACTGATTTTAATTACGATAAAATTTTATTTATATGATTGGTTTAATATGACTCATGTTAGATTGGGTTTGAGTTATACTAAAAATTATTCGTTTAATTTAAAAAATTTTTTGAAATTTTGAATCTTGATTTTTAAATTACCTATAATGTTGTTTTATTTTTAATAATGAATAATTTGTCATTTATTATCAGAATTATAAATTTTTTGTAATGGTAATTGAAATATTAGCACTCAATATGTTAATTGAGTGCCAGTATTCTATAGTACCTTATTCCAATAAGTAATTAAATTATTTTTGATAAATAAAGTAAATTGGGTTGGATTTTGTTATTTAATTTTGCTTTGCTATTTCTAAATAATTTAAATAAATATCTTAAAATAATTCAGTTTTCCTTTTTAAGCATTATATATTGTAAAAAAAATAGTTAGGAGTAATAATTTTAAATTGACTTTTAAGTTTTAAAATTAATTTTGATAGGATTATCAAACAGCCATGTGAAAAAATGAAACTTGTATTACGATAAACTTGATTTAACTTAACAAAATCTTTCCTTTGAGTATCTGTATACTATAACAATGATTTTATATTCAAGCTATTTAGTGGAATAGCCAAATAAAGACACAGAAGTCGTATCCANTATAACAATGATTTTATATTCAAGCTATTTAGTGGAATAGCCAAATAAAGACAGAAGTCGTATCCACTACCTTAAACTATTATATCACATATTAAAAAAAAATCTTTTAAAATAAAATATTAGAAAAAAAGAATTTATTTGATGTCTATAAATATTTTTCAATGCTACTTGAAAAATCTCTGGATTCACCCCAAAGGCTTTGTAAGCTGCCAAATTTTAAAAAAGTAGGCTTATTAACAACTAAATATGATAAAAATAACTCTTTATATGCTTTTTATTTCTATTGCAATTTTTTAATTTTAATCGTCTACCTATTATTTGTATAATTTTAAAATATATTTTAATTTAATATAGCATATTGGTCTATTGGTCCAGAAATTACTTATTGCGTTGGCGGAATTTTGCTACTTCACCCTTGGTTTACATTAAGAAAAACATTAAAAACTAAACCTTCTTAAAGTAATTTACTAGACGTTTAAAAAAAGAAGTGTTAATGTCTTTCATTTTCTTTTTAATAATTTTAATAAAAAATTTAGTTTGATTTATTATTTATAAAATTTGTATGTCATTTTGATACAAACACTTTTTAAAATAAACCTTTAGCATGTATAGTATAGAATTTAATTTTTGTATTCAGAATTGAATCAATATTTAATTAATATTAACCTTTATAAATTTTATTTATTATAATAATTTTTAAAATCTTAAAATAGTATTAAAACATAATTAACATTTACATATTTAAGTAAAAATATAAATTCTTGTAATTTTATAAATTATATTAATATGGTTCTATCGTTTAATAGTTACAAATAATTTCAACTGTATATTTTTGAGTTAAAATTTTAGATTAATTATAATTAGTTTTATATATATATACATATAAACCTATATGTATATAATTTATTTATTATCATAATCTGAAGTTTAAGAAATAAAATAAGGGGAAATTTTACGAATATATATATATATATATATATATATTGTATGTTATTGTTATATTGTATATTTATTTAATATTTTCATAATGTAACTGTGATAGATTGTTATGTTTAATATTTATATTTATTTATTTACACTACATAAAATAAAAAAATATATAATTTATAATTATATAAACTTTTTAACAAACAAACAAATATACTAAAAAAACTAAAAATAATTTTCATTAAATGATTTCAATAATCAAAATTTTCTCTAATCATTTATCATGTTTCTCATCAAAAATTGGTGATAATGAGCTAAATGATAAATTAAAACCTGGAGGCTCTTCAAATTGCATACTTGATGAAAAGTTTGAGCTATTTTCATCTGATATATCAAATGGTAACATAGCATGTTGCACTTGATTATCCGGTGATACACCTAATGCGGAGTATATTTCTTTTAAAACTAATAATATTGTATCTTCCGATTCCCTGTAAAAAATTTAAAATATTACTCATTAATAATTTTAAAATATAAAATTGACTATAACAGATATGGTGAATATTTTTAAGGAATATTGAATTGGATCGCGACAAACATTTTACTTATAAATTTTGGTCTGGTTGTACCAAATAAAATAAATTTCAGATTAAGTCAGGCTTACTTAATTTTTTTTCATTTGGACCAGACTAAATCTAGCCTAAATATTTACATATATAGAATGTAACAGATCTAACTGATGACTTATTTAACGTATGGCCTATATAACACTATTTTTTTTTTTTAGTCAATTTTTAAACTATAGGTCTATATTTAAAATTTGTTTTATGTTATTTTTTGCAATTACAAAAAATAATTTTTATACCAAAAACTCTATTTTAAGTTAGTAGTCATGTTTCTATAACATTTTGAAATTTCTTAAAATTTTAATTTTTTCATGGTATCAAACGTTGGACCAAGTATGTAAACGACAAAAGTACACTTAATCTTTTTAAGTTATTTATTGGCGACAGTAGCAATTTCTTTTTCATGATAACTAGTAACTTTTAAACGAGCATCTGTAATTGACGCGAAAACAAGTAGAAAATTAAGTTTATTGAATACATTATAAAAACTTTCTCTATAACATGTTAGGTTATTAATTAAATAGGTATCTGTTTTATAAATTTAAGCGTGAATAATAATGGATAAGCTCATTTATTAACAAATATCTCAACAAGAAATATGATATAAATGGTACAATCACACAAAGTAATAATAGTTATCACTCTTAATTTGTAACTATTGTAAAGTTACTTAACTTGTAACTCTCGAATACTTGTAATTAACTTACAAAAATATTTCTAACATTTTGTAATAAAGAATTAAGATAATCATATCTGTAAAAAGCTAGTTTCAAACATTACTATTTTTCATGAAAAAGAAACTATAAAATTTGTAAAGATTTACAATTTTGTTCTTATAATTTTTTTTATCTGATCAACCATCACTGTTTTTTTGCGTGTTACATTTATGTATTTTTAAATCAAATTTCTATTATTATTCTACTGTTTTGTATTCAGAAGTCATTGATGACTATTAATAGCGCATACTATTATATTCCATACAAGTTTACTATCATACATTGTTGAATGACCAGTGTGGAAATAATAGATAGAAAAAATCTTTTTTCTATCATATTATTATAGTAAAAATAAAGGTTTTAATTTTATGAAAATAACATAAGGTTTTTATTCTTGAAGGGATGAAAAAGAATTATTTGACAACATATTGTAGTTTTTTGATTCAAAAAATATTTTTCTTTACAAAAATCTAAAATGTTCAATTGTTTCTGAGAAAATGAGTGTCTTATTTTTAATAAATCGCTCTGTATATATATTTGTATTATTCACCAATAACATAAATGACTGCCAACAGCAAATAAATATTCATTAAAACTTTCAAGAGGTGCTTCTTGCAATACATAGTCTACTCGATTTCCTTTATTTAAATGTCCAGCTTTAACTTTAAGGCTATTTAATGATTCTTTATTTGAAGAAGTTGCTTGTGAGGTTATTTCTTGATTAAATACCTAAACATTAAAACTAAAAATAGTACATAATAATTGCTACATATTTTTTAAATTTGTTTACCTTTCGTGGTTTATACTCGATTGATTCAGAAGGCATTTTAGAAAACATTGCCAACTGATAAAATGTATTCCATGTAGTTTTTACAGATTGTACTAGATGGTTCTTTAAAGCAGCTCCAACATGTGTCATTGTATCTTTTAACTCTGAAAGTAAAATAAAAATTAATAATCAACTAGTGACTAATATTAATGAAAAATTAAAAAATATATTTAATTTTGACAGAAAAAATTGTATAGATGATTCATTCTTTTAACACTTTTTAGCTCTATATATTTCTTGATTAATCAGTTATTAATTATTTTTTTAATTAATTCTACATACTTAATAAGAGTTTCACCTTTTTATTTTTAAATGGACACATGTGTAATAAAGTAGCCTAAAAAATAGAAAATGTCTGATAACAACTTTTAAACCAGTAATTTAGAAGTTATGAATATTATTTTGCCTGGATTGAAAGAGTAACACAGTACAAAAATGCATAAGAAATATAGATAAAAATAACCTACAACTGACTTCCATTTAAAAATGTTAATAACTTCCGAAATAATAGATAAAAAGATGTTATCAGCCAGTTATTTTCTTAATTTTATTATTTTTAATTTTATAAGCTAGTTAAATATTTATAATGCCAATTAAAAAAAAAAGTTGACACCCTTATAAAGTATAAGAGGTGAATTAAAAAATTATTGTAACTAAAAATACCAAAAATAATTTTCCAAACTATTATTACTTTAAGAGAAACGAGTGGCCAGTGTTAGTACTTTATAGACTAAATTTAAACATATTTTTATTTATTATTGTTTACATAATTCTACCCTGTATCTTCTCTTCTCTGTCCACTCTCCATTGTATTCAAGGTGATAAATAATAATAGATGGTTTTTTCTCTGCAGACATCAATCATTCAATTTCACATTCTTTAACCTCAATCCACATATTATTAGTTAATTCTCTTCCTCTATTCCTCAGCCCTCATTCATTTATTCAATTACACCATTATCAAATCTTTCATTACTGTTACTCTAAGAATTTTACCATAATCATCTTTTGACCAATAAAACTATATTAAATTCCTTTTTTTTCTATATTTATCTATAAACTATTGATTCTTTGAAGCAAACGTCTCACTTCTAATTCTCATATCAATTATCATTTCCAACATCTTCATACAGTGGCATCTTCCTTTCATTTAAACATTATTTGAATGCAAGTCAGAGATTTTTCCCTCGTTTAACATTTGATTTTCTATACGAAATAAAAAACATCAATTTATAGGTTAATTTTAAATTACCTAGATGCATTCTTTTACGACCCTTATGATGAGGAATTTGAACAGGAGGTATATTTTCAAATTCAGGATTTATTAAAGGTTCAATTCGATAAGCAACAGGATCGTAAGGATGAAAAATATTAAAAAATCCAGGACATGTAGGAAATTTAAAATTTTCTCCCAAACTTTCAATCCCACGTACTGTCACAAACATACCTGTAAAAAAATTAATGAATATATTAACATACTAAATTATACAATTAATAATTTATGAGAAGAGCGAATTTATTTTAAGGCTAAAAGTAGCAAACTGTTGTTTATAGTGGAATTTAACACATAAATGACTAAGAGAGAATGTATTTATGATATAAAAAAAAGTTTATCGTTTAATTAATGAAAATCTGTGTGTATTCTATTTTCATTAAATAAAAGTAAATTTAATAGCCATGTGACACATAAGTTACATTCATATATATGTGATATAACTAAAAAAACAGAATATTATTAGATTAACAGTAAATTATTAAGTAGAATAAAATTTATAAAATGTTTAGAGGTAATAATTGATTAACACCTTAAATACATCATGTTTCATTAATAATCCGTATTAAAAAATTCTCTAATCATATAAAAGCAACATAACATTGTCATATTTCAACAACAAAATTTTCAAAAAATCTTTAGAATGTTTTTTTGGGCACACCTGTTAAAAATTTCTGGTTTAAAATCGGAAAATTCCAACTGCAAAAAACGTTTTTGATAAAAATTTTAAATGCTCATGGTTAGCTAAAAAAATTTTTCTCATTTTTACAAATAAATTACCTAAAACAATGTCATCAACTCTTTCATAAAATAAACAATTTTGAAAATTAGTCGTTGTTAAGTATTTTTCAAGCATTGACCAATTTTTCAATGTTTTATTATATAAAATATAAAATATTTTTTAGCAAACCGATATTATTATTTTACAATGTAAATTTTTGACTTAAGCATGAATAAATAAAAAAAATTTTATATATATAAAAGTATCAGTATTTCCGGAACTCTTTCAAAAATTAAGTTGAAAAAGTTCTACTTTCTTTAATCATTTTTATGTTTTGAACCCCCCCTGTATTAAGGGATATGATCCGATTTAAAAAAAACCCAGCACAGGGGGGTCGCAGCACAGTGGTGACGTGGCATAGTTGGATCAAGTATAATAATATCTGACAGTAATTAAAATCATTATAAAAAAAAAAAACGCTTTGATGCAAATCTTTAGATAGTGTTTAATTTTAAAAAATTGGTGGATTATTCCAAAAGCTACATTATCTGCTATTTCCTTATTAATATCCTGATTAAGAAAAAGTATGTCGAATGAAAAAGGGATTATTAAAAAATATTATTTCTCATAAAAAAATTGTGATGATCCATACACTTTTCAATAAGTTATAGCATAATAAAGTTAAAAATGTAAAAAATAAAATTGAGAATTTTCACACAATAATAGCATTTGGTAGCCATTTTCACCGTGAAGACAAAATAAAGTCCGAAATTTTTTTTTTTCGATAATAAAGTAAATTACATTAGCTTTAATTTAAGATATATATAAAAGTGTCAGACTTTCCGGAACACTTTCAAAATTTAAGTTGAAAAAGTCAATTTTTTGTGAAAAAGTTGTCATTTTGAATCCCCCCCTGTAGGCAGGTAAAAAGTCAGATTTATAAAAAAAATATACCAAATGATAGGTAAAGACATCATGCATCTACAAAAAAAAGAATTATATTGATCCATACATCTTTCGAGAAGTTATAGCATTATAAAGTTAAAAATATAAAAAAGAATTTTTTTACAAAAATCGTATTTTTTTTATTAAGTTTAATGTCTGTTTTCACCATGAAGATAAAATAAAGTCCGAAATTTTTTTTTACCATTATAAAGTATATTACATTAGCTTTAATTTAAGATATATATAAAAGTGTCAGACCTTCCGGAACACTTTCAAAAGTTACGTTGAAAAAGTTCTACTTTCTATATGCATTTTTTATATTTGCCCTTCCGTATATAGGGAAAGGGTCTGATTTAAAAAAACACACTTTCAAAAATTAAGATGAAAAAGTTCTACTTTCTCTATGCATTTTTATGTTTTGAACCCCCCCTGTATTAAGGGAAATGGTCCGATTTAATGAAAAAGTATGTCCAATGAAAGATGTATATAAATACTACTTCTCATGAAAAAATTGTATTGATCCATACATTTTTTAAAAAGTTATAGCACTTAATACACAAAGTAAAAAATGAAAATTATAAAATCGAGAATTTTCACACAAAAATAGCATTTGGTTCGCATTTTCACCGTGAAAACGAAATAAAGTCAAAATTTTTTTTTTTTATATTAAATTATATTACATAAACTTTAATTTAAGATTAAAGGGCTGGTAAAGGGTTAAATTTCTAAAAAAAATATACGAAATGATAGGTAAAGACATCAAGCTCCTATAAAAAAAAATTATATTGATACGTTCATTTTTGAAAAAGTTACGGCAGTTTTTAGTAAAAAAAAATTTCGAAAATTTCANTTTTTTTTTTTATATTAAATTATATTACATAAACTTTAATTTAAGATTAAAGGGCTGGTAAAGGGTTAAATTTCTAAAAAAAATATACGAAATGATAGGTAAAGACATCAAGCTTCTATAAAAAAAAATTATATTGATACGTTCATTTTTGAAAAAGTTACGGCAGTTTTTAGTAAAAAAAAATTTAAAAAATTTCGAAAATTAGCGATTTTTAAATTTGTAATTTTTTTGGAGGTTTCACCCATTTACGGGGAACGAAGGATAATTTGTTCAATTTTTGAGAGTAATGTCTTCGACTAGATACGATTTGTGATCTTTTGACGTATCGTTGAAAGAAATCGGTTCTGTGAGAGCTGATAAAAAGTGGTAACAGACACCAAAAAAAAAAAAAAAAAAAAACACATCATAGTAAAACCAATACCTTCTCAGCTTCGCATCGAAGCTAAAATACGATTTTTGTAAAAAAATTCTTTTTCATATTTTTAACTTTATAAAAATTACTCTCTATATAACTTGTATATGGTTATAATAAACTATTTTTTTTTTTTATATAGAAAAATTGTCAAAAAATACAAATTAAGTATGAACNAGACACAAATAAAAAAAAACACATCATAGTAAAACCAATACCTTCTCAGCTTCGCATCGAAGCTAAAATACGATTTTTGTAAAAAAATTCTTTTTCATATTTTTAACTTTATAAAAATTACTCTCTATATAACTTGTATATGGTTATAATAAACTATTTTTTTTTTTATATAGAAAAATTGTCAAAAAATACAAATGAAGTATGAATACTGAGATATGAACTTTATTTAATAAGTTAATAACCGAAATAAAATGGAAAATAAAAGCGTACTTTTACACCATTGATAGGGTAAGAGTCCAATTAGTATTGAATAGCTTTTAACAAGTAAATTAATAAATAAATAGTTGTTTAACCAGGTTTTTTTAAACAAAATAATAAAATAATGACAACATTTATTGAGTTTAGTTATTTTCAAATTTAATACAATAATGGTTAAATCTTATTTATATTTAAATAAGTAATCTTCTTCTTTTCTTCTTTTTCCTCGCCTTTATCCCAATTACTAGGGGCCGAACACCCTTATCCTAAATTTCTACTTGACACGATCTGTCACATCATCTACGCTCACATCAGCCGTCCTCATATTGCATTCCATAACATCCCTCCGTCTTTTTTTTGGTCTTTCTCTACTTCTTTTTCCTTCAACATTAATTTTTATAACTGTTCTTACAGCTTCCGATTCTCTCTCCTCATAACATGACCAAACTATCTAAGTCTATTTTTTCTCATCTTGTCACATTTGATGCTAAACATATACTTATTATATGATCGTTCCTTATCTTATCTTCTCTAGTCACTCCACTCATCCACTTTTATATCCATTTAGTGATAAGTGAATCACCCTGTATCAAGAATATAAAAGGTAATTATCTTTAGTATTATCTTTTAGGGGTCGACCTGACCTAGTGGGTAAAAGCGTATGTTTCAGCAAACGAAATCCCGAGATCGATCCCTAGGGTACCAACAATATTTTTCTTGTTATTTTCTCATTATTGGTGACTGATATCTGATGCAAACCGACCATAATACCCGTCCTGTCCATCATTGATCTAGCAAACAACCACGATTGACGCTACATCTAGACTTCCCTTATATGTTCATTCCTTATCCTATCTTCTCTAGTTAATCCATCTAAGCATTCTCATCTCTGCTGCATTCATTCTTTGCTCTACTTTCTTGTCAACCACCCAAAACTCTGAACCCTATAACATATCTGGTGTCACTACAATCTTATAAAATTTACCTTTCAGCCTCATTGGAATTATCTTATCGCAATACACACCAGACGATCCACCCACTCACTCTAAATCCTGTAACTTACATCCACGTCAATACTCTTGTGCTTTTGTATAGCTGATCCTAAATACTTGAACTTTCCACTTCTCTTATCACGTCATTGCTTATTGTCACTAATCTCCTCATTTCACCTACCTCGTGTTCTTCTTTGTCAAACTCATACTTTATATACTCTGTCTTACTCCTACTTAATCTTAAACCCTTTTCATCAAGAACAGACCTCCACACCTCTATCGTTTGATTTCCTCTCTATTTTGTCCTATTAACGCTAGATCGACGGCGAACAACATGCACCACAACACCTCACCTTGTATTTCTCTAGTAATTTCATCCATGACTATAAAAAAGGTATGGGCTCTTGATCCCATTAAAGAATTTTGGTGCACTCCAACTCTTACTCTAAAATCTTCTGTTACTCCTCCCACACTTTTTACTCTGATACAAATGCCATCATACATATCCTCTATTGTATTAATTTACCTTTACAGGACTCTATCATATGCTTTCCCTAAATCTATTAATACTATACACAGCTTTTTCTTCTTTTCCCTATACTTTTCTATTAGTTGTCTTACACAAAATAATGGCTCCATAGTGGAGTTACCAGGAATAAATCAAAACTGGTTCTTAGATACCGATATCTCATTTCTCATTCTCCTATCTATTACCTTTTCCCAGATTTTCATACAATAATTCATAAGTTTTATGCCTCTATAATTTACACACTCCTGTACGTTTTCTTTATCTTTAAATATTTTTAAAAAATTTTCTATGTTAATTTAGCTCTACTTTGTAGCACCATAAAGGTTGAGGCAATCAAATTTTTTGAGGAGACTACATATAATTTTTCCTCTTAAAAAAAAATTATAACAATATACAAATTTTTTTAAAATGGCCTTACAAAAATGTTCTATCTCTATAAGGTGTCAATAATTATGGCCTGATATATAAGGTTAAATGGCCTTACAAAATTTTGGTACCAACAAAAAGAGTTGAAAAGACGCCCCTGATTTTATGACTATAATTCTGTCACTTTTCTTAGCTACTTCAACAACTTTACTTTTCATCTCCTCATCCATTATTATCCCTACACCATTCTTTGTATTAGATTTATTGGTATCAAACACTTTATTTTTCAGTCCTTCTCCATTATTAACTATTTTATTTCTTCTCACCTATTGTCCCCTCGTAAATCCAAGATGGGACAATCCTTCTAAGTTTTGTTCAGGACTCCTCATACTTTTTGACAAAATTTTACACCGGCTCTCGACCTGATGCAACCTCATTAGTTGCCTCTTATGATTGACAGAGAGGCCAAAGAAGCATTCTAATCCCCTATTCAAAGGGACTAGATTATGTTAAACTACTGCTGTATTAAACAACAGTTATAAACAGAATTTAAAAAGGATAAAACTGATCTTTCCACATTTCAATTCAAACTAGTGTTTAACTTAAAAAGAACAAAAATGACAAGTTAATTTTGTATGTCTGTTAAAAAAAAAAAATGTTCCTTATTACTATAGGAGAAACCAATCCAGAAAACTTGTTATAATTACTAAAAATATTGTATAATATTAACAAAGAATAAAAAATATTTAAAATTTCAAGTCTTATTCAAATTAAAGAAGTACAAAAGGATTTTTGAATAAAAATAAAATATAGAAAGTTAATTTTTTTGTTATTTGTATTTGAATAGTCTATACACAGTGATATAACTCGTTTAATTGTAAAATAAATACAACATTGGAAAACAAAATGTTGATTTCTTTTAGTTACAAATATTTCTTGAATTATCAGCTAATGACTTTTTAGAATTCTTCTCTTATAACTTAAAAGGGAGTCAACTTTATTCTTTTTTAATGGCTACATACATATTTAACTGACTTATAAAATAGAAAATTATTTAGTTAGAAAGTTTATTGATCAATAACAATTTTTGGACCAGTACTTCAGAAGTTATTCTCATTTTCATACTTGTGTGGGACAAAGAGTACGGTCTTGAATAAATAAAAATAGCAGCATCCACTCCTCATCTCCAGTCTTCCTTTAAATTGTTAAAAACTTCTTAAATACTGGTCCGAAAGCTGTTTTTAACCAGTCATTTTCTTAATTAGATTATTTCATATTTTATAAGTTCATTAAATATGTACATGACCATTAAAAAAATAAAAATAACTCGCCTTTAAGTTATATTGAATGATTTTAAAAAGTAATCATTAGCTGATAAATTAAGAATTAAATGAACCTAAAAGAAATCAAAAATTGTTTTTCCAGTATTTATTTTGAAAGTAATCAAGTGGTTTAGGTTAAACTAATTATTCTGTATATAAAATAATATGCTTATAATTAATAACTAGTTTGGTAACTGAAACAATAAACCTAATAATTAATTAAATTTTTAAGAGCTCAGGAAGTGTCTTTCTCTTGATTAAGGTATACATATATAATATATTTATTAAATATAACTCAAATTAATCTAAGGTATGTCAACTTACCCTATTTAAAATATGATGAATTTGACTATTTTTAAGTTATCTTTATATATTCATTAGTATTTCTACCAAATTATAAGTTTTTATCATATATACTTTTTATACAAAATTAGCATTTTTCATTTAACTGTGCCTCATAATTTTTTTAATTTGTATTACTATATTAAGATATTTTTATGGAATATTAGATATGCATAAATGGCTTTTTTTTTATTAAGCTTATTATAAATATTTAATTTATTTTAGAATAATACTCTCCCCATATATCTTACAGTTTTATAATTTTATTTTTTTTTTCTATTAATAATGCTTAATATTTTTAATTAAATTATTGTATATAAAGTTTCTATAATAAAATTGGAAAACACTCTAAATTATCACTAGAGAACAAATATAATTTTAGTGATTATAAAATCTATTGAACTTACGGAATTCAATTGTTTTTCTAGTAAGTCTAACATAAAAATTGTACTAAGTCGTCAAAGCATTGCCCTTTGTACCCCTTAGTAGCTTACCAATTCATTAACAATGACGTAATTTATCATGATAGGATGCTACTATTCTGTAGATGATAGTCACTCAGTGCACAAATAGGCATATAGGTCGTAATACAAAATTTAATTGCAAAATAAGTACAAATTTTACTTCTAAAATTATGTAAATAATTGCCCATGTAAATATTTTTTTGGCCACATAAAAGTGAATCATAAATTAAGAAGTATTAAAAATAAAATGAAGAAACAATTATTTTTACCTATAGGTGAACCAAAACCAAAAAAACAATCTAATTGAAAATTTAATTGAGGATAAGTGATATAAGGTTGTCCGGTCCCAGCTTTTCCTAAAGTTACATAAGATACTCCACGACTTAATTCTGCTTTCTCCATTTCAAAATTTGAACTTTTTTCTTGATCCTAAGATAAAAAAAATATTTCAATGCATCTTTAACATCATAAATAAACTATAAAATAAATACACTGTTTAAAAATTTTTCTCCAGGACTTGATGGACACTGATTCCATAATAAATCAAAAGAAATTAAAGATCCAAGACTATGACCACCAATGGATACATGTCCATTAAAATTTGTATTTCTTGTAAGGTATAGGCTATACATTCGATTCATTTCATTTCCAACTGCATTCACAATAGTCTGTAAATTTTATTCTTTTGAACGAAATTTGTCAAGAAAATATTATTTCAAAAAAATTACTTGACAAAATGTAGGACTTGTATAAAATAACACATCTAAAATGGTGTCATTACTAAAATTTCTCAATCTTGGTATTGATGGTAATGTAATACTTTTGAGTTTACGGTCAATACTTTCACTATGCAATGCTTCATGCCATGAGACAGGCAATACTTCAATTCTACCAATTTTATTAGAATTAAGTGACGTTTTAAAATGTGATTGAGTTAATTGTTGAGCTAAAGAACGAAAATCATCAACTAAAATTGAAAGAAGTATATTATTAAAAAATTCTCATTTTAATATACTGATAGAAATATCGCCACCTTCATTCCAAAATCACATATCCAGGATCGTATTATCTATTAGGCACAGTAAGCACTATTCCTAAGGTCAAAAAAAAAAGGACTAAGAAATTAATTTGAAGACTATTTTGCTCAACACTATTGTTAAAATTATTTTTAAAAATATTTTTTAATTAGTGCCTAGGTCATACAAATAGTTTAAACAAATCTTGCATGTATCCAAATTTTTTACAGAAAAAAATTACACATATTTTCTGTATAGCTAATAATGTTTATTATAATTCTTTCTTGAAATTCCATTTCCACAATAAAATTTTAAGATGTTTTACTTCAAAACTCTTAAAATATGTATCGATATTTTAAGTATGATTATTTCAAAAAAGTCATGGTTTTGGAACTTGGGCAACAGTATATTTTTTAAATAATAATATATTATATAATATGTATAATAATAAAAATTTTAGTGACTCTATTGTTAATACAAATTTTTATTTCTACTAAAAAAATCAAAATTATGAAAAAAATTACAAACCAATAGTTTTTAATTATTCAACTACTAACCGACTTCATAAATTGGCCTCATCTTTAAATCACAATATGATCCAATTCCATGAACTATAAACATTAGATGATCAACTTTTGATGGTTCGTCATTAGGAATAACAAACTCCTCCAAACCTCGTTTGACTATACATTGTTTTAAAGAAGGCTGAAAATATTTCACATTTGTTCATACAACTGAGGTTTTTATTTTTTTCATGGTTGTCACATACAAAACAGTACAGTATACAGTGCATACCAGAGACAAAACTAGGATTTTTTACTTGAATAGGGAGGTGTAAACTAAAAATTATTTTATTGAACTATATTGATGATTTTTTTTATTGCTTATTTCTTCTGCAATTTAGAAAGATATATTACAGCCAATAAATGAATATCATAGTTACGCCAATAGTGTGTTTAATATTTTGAAATAATAAAAGATAAAGTTAAGAATTATTAAAAAAATTGAAAACATTAAATTTCTCTATAACAATAAATACAGCTCAAAATCTTCAACTACTCAAGTAACTTGTCATAAGAAAATAGAATCTTTTGATTGGCATGTACATTAGTGTGGTCCTTAGCTATAGGACATGAATTTTTTTTTTTGGAAATTTATAGCCAGGACCCCACCCCATTTTTTGGTTTACTTATAAAAGTGTGCGTATAAAATTTGAGTTTGCTAGACCCACCCTTTTCCGTCCCTCAAAAGGGTTGAATTTAGGCGGATAAGGGCATAAAAAAAGTTTTTTTAACATAACTAGTTCAATTTTATATTTATGAAAAAAAATTACCTAACTAATTTTATTTTACGAATTATTTACTAAAATAAAGTATTTATGATATTTTCTGTAATGTTTTTATTTCCTTGTATAATATTTAAAAATAGTTAAAAAGCGCTAAGAATCATATTTTACAGATTTTTACAAAATATTCAGTTTTTAGCTTCGATGCGAAGCTGAGAATATATTATTTTTACTAAGATGTGTTTATTTATTTTTTTTTTTTTGTGTCTGTTACCACTTTTTATCAGCTCTCACAGAACCGATTTCTTTCAACGATACGTCAAAAGATTACCAATCGTATCTAGTCGAAGACATTACTCTCAAAAATTGAACAAATTATCCCTCGTTCCCCGTAAATGGGGGAAACCTCCAAAAAAATTACAAATTTAAAAATCGCTAATTTTCGAAATTTTCGAAATTTTTTTTACTAAAAACTGCCGTAACTTTTTCAAAAATGAACGTATCAATATAATTTTTTTTTTATAGATGCTTGATGTCTTTACCTATCATTTCGTATATTTTTTTTAGAAATTTAACCCTTTACCTGCCCACAGGGGGGGATTTAAAATGACAACTTTTTCACAAAAAATTAACTTTTTCAACTTAACTTTAAAAATGTTCCGGAAGGTCTAACACTTTTATATATATCTTAAATTAAAGCTTATGTAATATACTTTAATTTAAAAAAAAAAAAATTGACCAGACTTATCTTCACGGTGAAAATGGCTACCGAATGCTATTTTTGTGTGAAAATTCTCGATTTTGTATTTTACATTTTTAATTTTATTATGCTATAACTTTTTGAAAAATATATGGATCAATACAATTTTTTTATGAGAAATAATATTTTTTAATAATCCCTTTTTCATTCGACATTCTTTATCTTAATCAGGATATTAATAAGGAACTAGCAGATCATGTAGCTTTTGGAATAATACACCAATTTTTTTAAATTAAACACTATCTAAAGATTTGCATCGAAGCGTTTTTTTTTTTATAGTGATTTTAATCACTGTCAGGTATCATTATATTTGATCCAACTATAACACGTCACCACTGTGCCGCGACCTTCCCTGTGTTGGGTTTTTTAATATAACTCATTAAATTTAATATTTATACAAAAATTTTTCTTATTTTTTTTTGTAAGACATATTATTTGATTTTTATTACCTTCTAACAATTTATAATATTTTAGTCCTATTTTGAAATTTAGTCATTTTAAGCATTACTTTTGGAAAATGTGTAGAAGTCTCTTTTAAAATTTATCGATTCAATTATAGGCAAAACATTAAATATTCAAAAAAAGTCTTATTAATACTTTTTTATAGTAAATTATCGATTACAACTTTTAGATTACAGAAGTTATTAACAATTTAAAGCATAATTAAAAGTGAGGAGTAGGTGCTGCTATTTTTATCACTAATCATTTCCTGACTATACTCTTCGTCCACCTAAGTATAAAAACGATAATAACATCCAATTTACTGGTCCAAAAAAGTTGTTATCAATCACTCATTTTCTTAATCAGATAATTTTCTGTTTTATATGTTAATTAAATATGTATTTTAACATTAAAAAAAATAATGTTGATATCCCTGTTCAATATAAGGGATAATAGTAAAAATGAATTATCAACTGATAAATTAAGAATTATATATAACTAAAATAAATTAAAGTTCATTTTTCCAATAATTTGTTTTTATTTTGTGAGTAATAGAGTGGTTTATGATAAACCGATCATTCTCTATAGATAATATTTATATTGATTTACATTAATATACATAATTAATTAAATTTATTGCTATTACATTTATATATATATATATATATATAATTATTTATTTATATAAATAAATGTAAGGGGTCAGCCTGGCCTAGTGGGATAGAAACGTACGTTACGGCGCACGGGGTCTCGGATTTGATCCCCAGGGTGCCAACGAGATTTTCTCATTGATGGTGTCTGATCTCTGGTACAAGCTGACCATAATATCAGTCCCGTCCATCATTTGCCTAGCCAAGAACCATCTTTGACTTTTTAACATGTGAAAGAGGACTACTACCCTATAAGGTATTTAATATAAATAAATATAATACCTTTAAATTTCATGAATTCATATATAACATAATGTAATAAATTATATTTAATAATTATTTTATAAATTTTTTATTATTTAAAATCTAATATTTCATTATAAATAAAAATGAATAGCATCTATATTTATTTTTATTAACCCTTAAACAGTCGCGTGGGGGTCTAGCATACCCCCACATAAATAAAAACGGATTTATTATATTGCATAAATGGTGTACATAGATATAAATTTAGAAGATGGTTTTATAGTAATATTGAATCGATTTTCATAAATAAATACCTTCGAAAAAAAAATGTATGACTTAAAATATTCATCAAAATTGAAATGGGTCATATTTACCCCCACGCGACTTGTAATGTTATAATTTTTTTTTGGACTTGTATTTTTTTCAAAATATTGTTTTATCATAAATGCAATGTTATAATCGATATATTGTGGAATTGGAATTATGTGGATCTATCACCGACTGTGCAATTAAGTTTTAAAAATAAATAATCCATTTATAATTTCCACTACTCGATGACACGGAACAAATAAGAACAAAACATGTAATAAATACATCGCGTCGCAATGTGGACACATTGATTATCGGTAATCGATGTGCTACTACGAACGAATAATTGTATGTACTCGTATCATAATAATTAAATGTATTGTAATATTAATAATAAAAAAATTCAATTCAGAAAAATGATTATTTAAATGTAAATACACATAAAACTAATAAATATAAGCCGTGTTTGAGCTCAAAGAAATACAAGAAAAATTAATTAAAATACATTTTGTAATAGTAAAAGCTTTTGTTTTTCGTCTTAAAAATAAGATTTTGCAGTTAAAATAATTTTTTTACAAACCAAAATTTTGAAAATTAAGTTTTTTTTTTTCGTAATATAATTTTTAGTAATACACATAGTTTTGTAATTTAATTATTTTTAATTTTTATTATTGAATTTTTATCCATATTTATATATCATTTGGTAACAAATAATGTCTTTGAATTAAAAAAAATAAACTTTTTTATACATATTTTATACTTTTTTAGAAATGGGGTCTGATAGACCCTCACGCGACTATGAACGTTAAAAATAGGCACGCGCCTGCTAAAGGGTTAATAATAATAATGTAAGAAGCAAATTATATTTTATAATTATCATTTAATTATATTTATTTATTTTCATATTTATATAATTTATATTTACTTATACGTTCATCGAACAATAAAACTTTGACCGAATACCTAATTGAACAATACAATCCGTTTAACGAACGTTTACGTTCGCGAAACAATAGAATTTTGACTGTATACCTAATAAAACATTAATATCCGTCCATGACGGCAAACGTTACAGCTGAACGTGACGGTCAATCATGAATATGATTCCGATCGTGATACGCAATAATATTTTTTTTCGAACCTCTGTAAAAGAATTCACTTCAAAAACGCCTAAAAATATCTAAAATGCCACTTTTAAAAATTTAGTCTCGGGCTTGAGGCGGAAAAATGACGAACTAATAGGCGAGCTAGTTAGTCGTCCAGTTCGCCTTGAGGTATACAAAGAAATTCTTAGAAACTTTAAAAAAAAAATAATTTTTTACTAATTTAAAAATTTATACACTGAAAAAATCAAAGGAAAAAAAAATTTAACGGCTTAAGTTTTGCACTTTTGAACTTTTGAACTTTACCGAAGAGTTTTATAAACTTATGATTTGTTTAACTTTACTCATTCTTACCAAGTATTCATATTCAAGTAGATTAGTTATTAATTAAATCTACAAAAATAGCTTGGTATAAACAACGAACCAAAAATCTAAAATAGTTATAATACTTTTTTAATTACAGTAATTATTTTTGTTTGTTTTTATGGTTAGTGTTCAGTAAGTAAAGAAACTGGTTTCTATTGTTTTCATTGTTTGTTAAAATTAACCTGTTTACTTACTGAACACTCTGTATATGTATTATACGAAATAAAAAACCTATAAAACTTTTTATACATGTAACCATACATTAGAAATAAAAAAATCATATTAATTACCACATTTGTAATTTGACTTGTTTGTATTTCCGGTTGAACTTCTTCGTCACAGTTCAAAGATATAATTGATACACCATATTGTATAAAAGCAGTTGGGCTATGTAATACCACCTCTTCTTGACAATTGATTGAAATTCTTTTACCCCATTTGTTAGTTTCGCATGCAATTTTATAGTTTTCCTAAATTTTAATTTATATAATAAATCAATAATTTAAATATTTAAAATATTTTACTTCCAATCGCACAGTCTTGTGTTCATCATAAGGAATAAAATTAGAGCCCCTTCGATTACGGAAAAACCATGAGCATCGTCGCACTTCAGTAGATTCACAATCCCAATAAACGGATTTACGAATCCTTTCCTTTAAATATACATCAAAACGTGTGCCATTAGTCGATACTACGATTTCTTTTTTAGTTTCTTCTGAAAATTTTCGTTTAAAGATATAAACTTCGAAATGATTTGTAACTTTATTTTCTATACCAAATAGATAATGTTTCTCTAAAACATCCGAATCCTTCTGGCTGAATGGAACCCATACGTTTTTATTAGGATACTTACAATAAAACCAGTGCCATTTCACAGGTATATATGATACAGCAGTCTATAAATGATAAAATTATTACCTTGAATTCTCGTCACAAAAAATTTTGATTTATGATTAATTATTTCACCATTTTGCTGAATTCAGACGTATTTTCTGAAATATCATTATTTTTTTCATCAACAAGTGTTTCAGTTTGAGAGGAAAAATTTTGTGCAGAATACGAAAGTTTTGATAAATTTGACTGTTTGTCAAAAGTATTATCAACTGTAATAAAATCTTTGTATTTTACACGAACTCTTTTTTTTTTTTTTTTTATAAAAATTATAAATACCATGATATTGATTTTGTTCAATATTTGAATATTGTGTAGGTAACTCATGTAAATTATATTCACTCAAATTTAAAACTCCATCATTTTTATTTAAATAATGTATACGTTGTTTTCCAGTTACTATTAAATTATTAGGTTCTTCAAAGCTTCGGGGTGTTGAGTATGAACAAGATTCTTGGAATTGATTGTTACTATCTTTATCTGTAAGCGAAATATATTTACTATTTACATTTGGTAACAGAAAAGATTTTAACCTATCCCTTCTGAATAAATATTGTCAAAAGATAAATAAAATAAGATAAAAATTGTAATCTGTATAAAAGAAATAAATTTATTGAAATCATTTCAAAAAACGTTTTACGATCTTTATGTCATCATGTATTTGACTTGGTGTTATGTTTTATATTCACTAATTTCTTTATCTTTAACAAATGAACTAAACATATTAACAGACTGGCAAAAAAATTCATTTTTATGCATGAGAAATTATTTTGAATTTAGTCAACCTATGATTATTCATCAAAAATATAACATAACATTTTATGGTCTTGAAGAATCAGGTACGTTACAAATGTCTAATAAACAACAATAGGATTTAAATTTTTTGATAATGTACCTTTTATCTAATTTACCTTAATAATATTCATATTATTTTAGCTTCGATGCGAAGCTGAGAAGGAATTAATTTTACCATTATATGTTTATTTATTTTTATTTTGTGTCTGTCACTACTTTTTCTCAGCTCTCACTGGACTGGTATTTCTCAACAACTCATCAAAAGATCACAAATCGTATCTAGTTGAAGACATTACCCTCAAAAATTGAAAATGTTGCCCTCGTCCCTCGTAAATAGTGAAAATCCCTTCAAAAAATTACAATTTTTAAAATCAGTAAATTTTGACATTTTTTTTTTTCCTAAAAATTGATAAAACTTATTGAAGTGTACACAAATCAAAATAATAATTATTTTTAATATTAAAATCTTAGATATTTTCCTTTCATTTGATATACATTTTTTGAAGATTTGACCCTTTACCTACCCACAGGGGGTATTCAAAATTGTAACTTCTGCACAAAAATTTAACTTTTTAAACTTAACTTTTGAAAGTGTTCCGGAAAGTCTGACACTTTTATGTATATTTTAAATTAAATCTAATATAATGTACTATAAGATGAAAAAAAAAATTTGCCTTGATGACTTATCTTCTATGTGAAAATGGTTGCCGTAGATAAAAAAACATGCAATTTTGGTGTTAAAATTTACTATTTCATATTTTATTTTTTCAACTTTAAATTACTATAACTTTTTGAAAAATGTATCGATCAATACAATTATTTTTTTATATATACTTTATGTTTACCTCTTTCATTTGACATACATTTTTTTGTAAATCTGGCTTTTGACCTAACCACATGGGGGATTCAAAATAACAATTTTTACCCACAAGTTAAACTTTTTCAATTCAATTTTTGAAAATTTTCCAGAAATATTGACACTTTTATTTAATCTTAAATTGAAGCTTATGTAATATGCTATACTATGAAAAAAAATATTTCGAGATATATTGAATATGGTTATCATATTCAAAAATATGCTATTTTTGTGTTAAAATTCTTGGCATTGTATTTTAATATATTTTATGATGGGGTACACTGATTTTCATGAATATTATATTAAACTAATTGACATAGAATATAAAGTTAAACTTATTTCAATTTGTTTTCTATTAAGTCGGAAAAATTAATTTTTTTCAAAATTTCAAAATAGCCATTATTAAGCTCTTTTATTACAACAATTTTTGACGAGTGAAACGTGTGTAGAATATTCGTACACGTAAAAAAAATTATATTGATTTGTTCATTTTTGAAAAAGTTATGGCAATTTTAAGTAAAAAAAATTGAAAAAATTTCGAAAATTAGCGATTTTTAAATTTGTAATTTTGTTTGGAGATTTCCCCAGTTCAGGGGAACGAGTGAAATTTTTTCAATTTTTGAGGGTAATGTTTTCGACTAGATACGATTTGTGATCTTTTGACGCATCGTTGAAAGAATTCGATTCGTTGAGAGCTGAAAAAAAGTGGTAATAGACACAAAAAAAAAAACACATCATAGTAAAACCAATACCTTCTCAGATTTGCATCGAATCTAAAATAAGACTGTGAACTTTACAGAACTAATTGTATTCATAGTTATGTTAAATAAATTAAATGTTTTCCAATCATTATAACATGTAAAAACAAACTTTCTTCAGTAATTCGTCGAAATTTTTTACACTTATTGAGCAGCATAATGTCAATAATTATACGTAAAAACTTACTAATTCACTTCCTAGTAATGATACATAAGTAGTATCCTTATGCTCAGCGGTACTTTTGTTTTCTGAATGAATAACTTTTATTAGGAAAAACAACGGCGTAGTGTTAAAACGTATAATAACTGAAATAATGTAAAGTGTAGTCAGCTCTTGCTTATGTTAATACTTGGATGCATTAATTTATGAAAACAATATTACGAATCTAGTAAAAGATTCTAAATTTATAGGTATTAAATTGACGTCATTAATAAAACATAAATATTTATTTTAGGTATCTTAAAAGATTACCGTCGTATTAAGAAGGGGTAGTTTTTAGCTTTAAATATAACGTGTGACAGCAGAAGGAGCGAACAAGTAAAATTTGAAGTGTTAAAATTATTTACCATTTCCTTCTTTTCAATGAGACATTAAAATAATTCATTAACAAGAGGGTATTATCTTACCCCTTTACTACTAAAAAATGTTTTATAATTTTAACCCATCCTCCAAAAAAAAAACCTAAAAGTAGACAATTCGTTTTTAAAAAAATAATAGAGTGAAATTATAATTAAACTCTTCTTCTTCCTCACCTTAATCCCAACTACGTGGGGCGGCCACCCTTATCCTAAGCTTCCACTTGACACGATCTCCCACATCTTCTACGCTCACATCAGCTGTCCTCAAATCGCATTCAATAGCATCCCTCCATCTCTTTTTTGGTCTTCCTCTATCTCTTCTTCCTTCAACATTCATTTCTATAACTGTTCTTACAGCTTCCGATTCTTCTCTCCTCTGTTTAATGAATAATTAAACTCTTACTTATTAAAATCTCTTTCCTAGTGATATTAGTTAATACAATTTTATTCAACATTTTTAATATATAATTCATTTTCTTTTGCAATTTAAATAAAAAAGTGTAAGCAATAAAGATAAGTAATAATATATATGTCATAAAAAATAGTTAAGATAAAATTGTTTATATTTCCTGTTTGAATAACTAATTGACAAATGTATATTTAAGGCAAGTCTTTACTAATATAAGATAAAACAAAATTTAACTATTATTATTTTAAAGGACGTGTATATACATATAAATGAATAATAACGAAAATACTTAACACCTTCACAGGATATGGTGTTCGACAGATTGTAGTTCGGAGTGTATATGATTTTGTACCAGAAAGAAGTAGTTTTATTGACATGCTTGAACAAGACGGTGGATATGAAAATTACTATAGGAAATTAGTACGAAAAGTTGATTTTCATAACCAATTTATGATGTTTGCAGAAAGACAAAAGTTCAAAAACTGGGATTATTTTGTTAAAGAAAATAAAAACGTAAATTTATATAATTCTTATAATTTTAACTATTAGTATAATTGAGAAATTATGCGTAGATTAAAATTTTTTGGTGTAAAAATGGATTATGTGAAGATTGCCGGAGTAACAATCCGATAGCTTTGGCAATAATAAATGAAATATCTCAACCTAAGAACACTGAAGTTCAACCAAAAAGTATGATATATTCTTATAAATTAATATATTCTTATTAATTAAGAAAATATCAGGATTATTATTGAATAAAATCGTTAAAATTTAATTGTCAGCCAATTAAATTTTTATTAAAACCTTCTTTTAGTTGTTAAAGAAGTGGGCAAGAACTGCTCATGCACTTAGACGTGTACGTCCATTATTTGAATGTTTAATATTATATATATAATCATAGAACGTCCTACTAGACCACTCTGTATATTTTCAATGAGTCTTGTCTCTCTTATGTAAATTATATATATATATATATATATGTTGATTCATAGAACTCACAATCTTATAATCATTAGTTATCTAAAGGTTCATTAATTATTAGGAATGCCAGTCTTTCTGATTATATTATTTAAATTACATTTATAAGATAATTATAATTTTAATACAATTTTATAGAAAATTATAAAATGGCGTATTATGATAAATAAAAAACCTATGAGCACACAAGGCCATATTTTTTTAACTACTAGCTTTTGAATTAAAATATTTATGATTAACAATCGTGTTCAAAGTCGAACATACTAACAAAATAAAAATATGCATATTTAGCAGAAGCCTAAATGATTGTTTATCAAGCATTATACAAAATATTAAATAGGTGTAGACCATAAGAATTAAATAATTTAAAATTTTAGTTATTACTCTTATACGGAATTAGACACGAAAATATGAAAAATCCAAAAACATTGATCCAAATATAATTTCGTTGAAATTTTTGTTTAAATAATTATTACATTTTTAGAATATGTTTTAAATGTATTTTTTAATATTTCTTACTAAAAAGAAAAACTAAAAATTAAAAATAATTATAAACGACCATTTTAACATTAAAAAAAAAAAATGTTTAAGGTTCGATAACAATTTTAAGGCAAGTACTTAGTAAGTTACATGATATTTAATACATAGAATGGGAATAAAACGTCGATGAAGTATATATAACCAACCCAATGTACTACATTCAGTTGTGATAAATACCCTATTACAAATAATTGTAAAAATAAAGTAATTTATAGTTTTATACTTTATAATAAAAAATAATTAATATGGTCAAAAATATAAGCTTATGATTAATTAAATACATAAAATGTACCTATTTGGTAAAGAATACAAAAGTAACTATAATAAAAATGGCGTGTAATTTTTAACAAAAATTTTTTTAAAACTAACACGTCATAATTTAAAAATCTGTTTTTTGTTATTCAAATGTTTATCACAAGTAATATAAAATATTATAATACTAATAACAATAATATAACGAAAGAAATTTCGTGAAATTAACAATAACATAGTTAGAATATGTTCATAAGAGCATTGTAAATAAAGTATATAAATTATTTTAAAAATATAACTTAAGTGTGCTAACAAGATCAATTCTTATATTTTTACTAAAACATATGAATATCAATCTTAAATAACATTTTTCTAAATATTTAATATAATACAAAATGAGTAAAATCTATCTGAATCAGGCCAGTTTCAAGAGTAAAATAAAATAAAAAACTCCATTTAGAAAAACAAAATGCTGCATTAATATAATTTTTTAGAAAATATGAAAAACTAGCCAATACAATTTTAATATCACCAATACATTGGTTTTTAGCTTCGATGCGAAGCTGAGAAGGTATTGGTTTTACTATGATGTGTTTTATTTATTTTTTTTTGTGTCTGTTACCACTTTTTCTCAGCTCTCACTGGACTGGTATTTCTCAACAACACATCAAAAGATCACAAATCGTATCTAGTCGAAGAAATTACCCTTAAAAATTGAAAAAAATTCCCCCGTTCCCCGTAAATGGGGGAAACCTCCAAAAAAATTACAAATTTAAAAATCGCTAATTTTCGAAATTTTTTCAATTTTTTTTACTAAAATGTGCCGTAACTTTTTCAAAAATGAACATATCAATATAATTTTTTTTTTTATAGATGCTTGATGTCTTTACCTATCATTTGATATATTTTTTTTTTAATTTTACCCTTTATCTGCCCACAGGGCCGGATTTAAAAAGACAACTTTTTCAACTTAACTTTTGAAAATGTTCCGGAAGGTCTGACACTTTTATATATATCTTAAATTAAAGCTTATGTAATATACTTTAATTTAAAAAAAAAAAATTTGACCAGACTTATCTTCACGGTGAAAATGGCTACCGAATGCTATATTTGTGTGAAAATTCTCGATTTTGTATTTTACATTTTTAACTTTATAATATTATAACATATTGAAAAGTGTATGGATCAACACAATTTTTTTATGAGAAATAAAATTTTTTAATAAACCCTTTTTCATTTGACATACTTTATCTTAATCAGGATATTACTAAGGAACTAGCAGATCTTGTAGCTTTTGGAATAATCCACCAATTTTTTAAAATTAAACACTATCTACAGATTTGAATCGAAGCGTTTATTTTTGATAGTGATTTTAATCACTGTCAGATATCATTATACTTGATCCAACTATACCACGGCACCACTGTGCCGCGACCACCCTGTGCTGGGTTTTTTTATAATTGAAAAGACAATGAAAAACAATATAAAGTAAATAATTTTTTTAAATTCATGCAATAATAAATAATTGTAAAAAAATTATCAGAATTTTATTAAAAAACATTTGAAAAAGAATATATTTATTTTTGATTATAATTTATAAAATAAAAGCCAATCATACAATAAACAGTCATAATTCGGTAGAATATTTAATTTATTATTTTCATATATATTTTATTATAGTAGCATTTGGTTATTTGATATTTTTAGAAAGAAAGGGGGTTATTTTTTTATGGCATAAATATTTGTAGAATATTATAAAAACTAATATAAGAAAAAGCGTTTTTGTATAGATTATTTGTATTTAACAAAATATAAAATTAGGCCAGTGTGTTTATCATTTTATACATACTCAAAACTAGGTAATATTTATCAGGTCTACAGGAAGAGTGAATATACCATGAACGCAATTTCAACGAGTAGCTGTTTTTATTTATTTAGGAAAATGATTTACAAATATTTCTATCAGGATTTAATAAAATCCAACATAGAGTGCATACTTATTTCTGGTTTTGTGCATTATAAAACCAAAAAAACTAATTTAAGTTTTACCATTGTAAAAAAAAAATTTCTAATGAACTTGAAACTTAAAATATATTGATAGATTATATAAGTATTTGCTGAAGTTGACAGAATATTATGTTTAAATGATTTAAATTTTGCTTTGATTTATTTGTATGTGTTTATGCCCGACAGTTTAAAATATATACTGAGTGATCGGTTTATTATAAACCACTTGATTACTCGCTAAATAAATACTGAAAAAATAGTTTCTTTTAGTTACATATATTTCTTGAATTATCAGCTAATGACTTTTTAAAATTATTCCTTATAACTTAAAGGGGTGTCAACTTTATTTTTTTTAATAGCTATAAACTTATAAAATAGAAAATGATTTAATTAAAAAGTTACTGTTCGATAACAATTTTTGGACCAGTACTTCAGAAGTTATTCTCATTTTCATACTTAGGTGGGACAAAGAGTACGGTCGTGAATAGATAAAAATATCAGCATCTACTACTCATCTCTAGTATTTTTTTAAATTGTTAAAAACTTCTTACATACTGGTCCAAAAGTTGTTTTCAACCAATCATTTTCTTAATTAAATTATTTCCTATTTTATAAGTTCATAAATATGTATATTACCATAAAAAAAATTAAGTTATTAGGTGACTTGAGGTCTAATTCCCCATTTAAATAATTTTATTCTATAATTTTTTTTTTATTACTCGTTAAACCAATTAAAAAATTGAATATAGTAATGTGCACATTATACATATTATTTAAAAAAAATGATTTATTCACAAATCATTGTTTTTTATAAAAATGGACATTAAATTATTTAGATGATAAATAAATTATGAATTATGATATGAATGGTGCCCCCCGCGGTTTTGTGAATTTTACACAATTTAACAACCCTCGGATTTTTTTATTCTTGTTACACCATTGTTCATTCGATATCTAGGTTAAATTTTCTTCGCAACAAATATCACATATAAATAGTTTTAAAATACTAAAATACCACAGTTTTTCTAAAATAATCTTACTGGTACATACTACATACGTTATTAAATAAATACTAACATATATTTCTGGAAATTTTACCGAAGTTCAAGCTTCAGAAAAGATGTGGTCGGATGGACAAATTGAAGATTTCAAAGATTTTTCTATAGAATTAGCTTCAAACTCATTACTGATTGGAAGACCAGGAGACGTAGCAAAATTATATTTCAGAGTAATCAACAGATTATGGCAACCATTAGAGTTTTTTTTTGAATGTTATGCTCAAATTGGAATTATACGAGCTATTCTTCCTACAAGGTAATTTTAGTCTAAACTATTAAATACTTTTGCATATATCATCTCAATATTAAAATATATTTACAATAAAATTTGATAAGATAAAATATATTGAATTAAACAAAATTTTAGTTTTAGTACAGGAACAACTCTAGAGTTGACTTTATAAATATTAATTATTTAGTAAACGTAGTTGTTTAATATTAATTCAATAATAACGTAGGATTTTAGTAGAAAAACAGAAGTACTGTTCAATTCATAATTTCGATACATTAGAGGTGTATTTAAGGTTTTGCTGCATTAGGAATAATACATTTATTCACTTTCATGACACAAAAAGAACAGTTTTAAAAAGTTTTGGGTTTTAATTGATAAAAATACCTTTCTTTGCTAAAAATAATTTGCTTTTACCTTTGGTCCACCTTGATAAGAAAATCACAAGAAAAATGTCATTGGCATTCGGGGGATCAAACCCAGAACCCTATGCTCGACGCATACGTTTTTACCCACTAGGCCAAGCTAAACCCCTCCTACAATATCCATTTATATGTTTTATAAATCTATGCATAGGCTCAATCTGAGAGGGTCTAAATGAGACTTTGCCACTTAAATTTTGTCACAGTCCCCTCCCCAAAATAATTATAAAAATTACATTAATTTTTATAAAGAAATATTTTTAGAAGGGAAAAAGTTATGTTAAACCTCTCAAAAATTTTGTTAAATTTGCGACTATTAATAGTCGAAATTCTTACTCCAATCAAACCGAACACCAACAGTAAAAATAAAACAAATTCTGACTCTAACCAAGGCCATACTTAGAGTCACAGAGCCTTTAGGCAGTAACTAAATCAGTGACCCCTTCAATAACATACTTAGAAATTTACTATAAAAAGGGTCCGTATAACTTTGATTTTTTCACTCTTCTACTTTCCCTAACTACCAAAATTTTATATTCATTGGGAGTCTATGAGAACGTAAGAATCCACGTAAATATGTTTCTATTCCTCGATAGATATCGACTAAGAAATATGTGATCGAACAAAATGGCTTCTTAAAATGTTAAGCCTAAGGCAGCTGTCTTGTCTGTCTAGGTTGTAATACGGTCCTGATTCTAACCAATACATATTTTTTACATATTATTGTAATAACTACAATACAGGCATATTTAAGACACTCAGGCTCTTCCAAAAAATTTCACCAAACTTTCTTGTACTTATTAAAATCGAAAATTTTCATGGTAATTTTAATCACTGTAAAATGTCAATCGAATACTTATCTCAGCTATACTTTGACCCGACTATACTAGGTCTCGCTTCAAATGTTTTTTCTGCCTATTAGAACATTTCATCTTTTATTATTTAGAATGTTCCTTTATTTAAATTCTCTCAACTCGATTACTGTTTACAAGTATAAACTGGGAAGGGGTAAATTCTTCCTACTTATTAGCTTATATCATTAATATCTTGTATTGATGAATGTTATATGATTTTTTATTAATCAAATTAATGAACAAAAAAACTTTTATATTAAATTTAAGTTTCATATTTAACAATTTAATTAGTTACATCTTACTAGTTCTAGTAGTTCATATACAATATAAAATATTTTAAATAATTCAAGATAAGACTAGTAAGAATAAGATCTTGGATTTTTTGAACAAGGAACACCATTAGCATAGTGTTTGCATGGAGGTTGAGAGTCTTTAATTCCATAAAAACATTTGTAACCTTCCAAAATGAACTAAATTTTTGTGGAAAAAGAGGGAGAGAATAAAGCAATATGTTAAGAAAGTTTCCTGTCAATTACAAACCTAAAATATTGCTTATAGGACTATAACCCATAAAAATAACATTTTAAAGTTATGCTCATGGGAAGTACACCTTAATTGTAAGTTTATATAAATCAGCTCTTAAAGAAACAAAAAACAGAGAAAGTAATAATATCTTAATACTATTTTGAAAACCCTACTATTATCAATTTTTAAATAGACCGGTGACTTTAGGCTGAAAAATTATTTTCAAGACAGTTTTATTTTTCAACTTTTAACATTTTAAAACTTTCAAAAGAAATTTTACTTTAGTGTTGTTGCTTACATCATTTCTCATCTTTTAGTGATAAAATCTCGGTTCTAACTCCAAAACTAAAATTGTAAATAGAACAATATACAAGAGATGTGACACAAATCACTTTTTTTTATATAATAATAGGAAATATTATGGATGATCTAGTAGTCATAAAAATAAAACTTATAGAAGTGACTTATACCTTATCTTTTGTAAATCGTTCATATTCTTAAAAAAAAAAATTAAGACTATAAAATAGTATACATAGAGTTTGAATGAGTTAAATAAACCTTTTTTTATAATAACTTATTAAATGATAGCTGTTTAAACGAATTTGTCAAAAGAAAACTTTTTCCATTGGCACATTCCACAAGAAGTGGAATGTGCCCCTATTTTCCAGAACTTGTTTACAAAATAAAAGCTACATGTCATAAAAGATATTATTAAGTAATTACTTGACTGTATATAGATAAATTATTACTTTAATCATTTTTTTAAATACTCAACATTTTTTTTTGATATTACTTAATTTAAAACATAATAAAATATTTCAGGATAATAATACCACCAAATTCACCAAGTGATATTGAAGTATTTCTTGAGGTAGGAGGTTCAGAAGGATCAATAGACCAGATAACATTTATAGTAAACCAACAATATCAAGAATTTATCAGAGTTAATTTTTATATTGGTCAAATGGTATGCAAAAAAATATATTAATGTAAAATTACAAATAATTAGTAACTAACTGTAAATAATGAATATTTATCATAATAAATTTAATAAAATTTCATGATTGTGTAAAAATATTTGACAAGGTAGGAGATACTTCAAGGCCTACAATAGATTATACTTTTAATGGCGATTGTCGTTATGCAGACACACCACATACATGTGGATCTGAAAAATGGAGCATTGAAGCAGTTATAAGAGATGAAAATTCAGGTACTACAAATGTATTTTTTACATAGAAATAAATAATAAAATGTTGTAATAAAATGAATATGCATAACATTTTTTCAAATAAACATTTTAGGATTAGCAAACATTTACTCAATTCCAAATCATCTTCGATTTCAAAATGACTTTATTATTGGGACAAGAGAAGCAGTAATTGTGTACTACTCTTCAACATGTTGTTTTCCTAAAGTTGAAATAATTGCAACAGATCTAAGAGGAAATATTAAAAAAAAAACTATTGATGCAGAAAAACGTAATATTTTAATGTACAACTAATTATTAAAAAATTTATGTATTATTTTATGTTACAGAATATTTGAATTTAGCAGAAATTGCAGCTATCATATTGGCTATTTTTGTTTTATTTTTTACAATAATAATTTTGATTTGGGCAGTATTAAGGTGCCGAAAAAGAAGAAAAAGTCAAAATTTTATTTCAAATTAAAAAATTTCATTGAAAATTATTTTATCTAACTATAGTAAATAATGCTGTTCTTACTTAAACTATTTTTTGAGTGTGTTTCTTCCATTTCAATAAATCTTGATGAAATTCTTTGAAATCAGCTGAATAAATTTAAGTATTACAAAAAATTATATAATTAAGTTTAAATTTTTTTAACAAAAATACAAGTATCAGTTATCATTATAATAGCTACTTTTTGGATTAAATTTAATCAGTTTTCAACAACTTATTGTGTGAAAAACAACAAAGATCAATTCATTATATATTATATATTGATAAGAATTAAATGAAAAAATAGTGACAAGGAAACCAATGTCCATTTCATATTCAAAAAAAAATGATAACTTTGATAGTACAATAATGATAAAATTTCATTACAGTGTTGATCAAATTATAACATTTCCTTCCTTTTTTTTTTTTATAAAACAACATTTTTTATGGTATGCTTAACATATTTAAGAAAAAATACATACATGCATATAAAATATTACAGTAACACTAATTAAAGTTCTTTAGAGTTTCAACATAAACAATTGTACTAAATTAATTATTATATAATACGATTGGAAGACTTTTGTTATATTAACCAGTATATTTCTCCTATTGGAAAAATCAAACTTAAATGCATGGTATTAAATATATTATTTGTTAAAATACTGGAGCCTTTATATAAATCGACTAGCAAAATATTACTTTTGAATGATCTAAAATAATTTTTGGATATAAATAAAGAAAATATTACTATTAATTATTAAACATATTTTCATAGGTTAAAGCCTTATACAAGTGGTGGCTCAAGGGTGCTGTTGGTGGGGGTGCGACTTTAAATATAATACCGCTAGTTATAGATATAAAAGGTTGTCAAATTAAATATAATAAAATAAAACACAATACACTTTTTTTAAAAGTCGCAGTAGAAAATAGAAATTAAAACAACAATAATAGCGATTATACTATTGTAGGAACAAATAAAGACGAGCATACATGAAGTTAATTCTAAAAATAAATTACCCAATATAGTAATATACTAATATTTTACTGTATGGACGACGCTGCCGGTCGTCCAAAATCCGTACATAAGATTGCAGCTCAATTATAGCCGCACGTACACGATGGCGCCTCTTTTATAATATACGTTTCAAAATATTATTCGGACGATGCTGTTGGTCGTCTAAACACTGCTCGTGTATGCATGCGTACCGCATATACTGAGGGAAACAACTTTAATGTTCGTACACGACAAATGTATTATAACTATTTTACTATTTAAAAATTTACATTTTTAATAAAAATGTAGAATTAAGAATATATAATTAATTTTCTTCATTTAATTAATTTTGTAGGGGGTGTGATCGTACCGTCGTCTAAGCCACGAGCCGCCACAGCCTTACACACACACTTCCTGAAGTCTTCTTAAAGCATTTCTCTTATCTAAAAAGTATTTGGATTAGACTTCATATAGATTTTTTAGGGTCAAATTACATAGTAAGTGTGGGGTTTGGTTGGATAAGTGGCTTGAATGTTTTAAAGTCAATTCATTAAATGTCAATATTGTAATTAAAAAAAAACGGTAGCACAGTGGGGACGAGGCACAGTGTGCACGAGGCATAGATGGGACACGTATAGATGATATCTGACAGTGATTAAAATCACTATCATAAGAAACGCTTCGATGCAAATCTGTAGATAGTGTTTCCTTTAGAGAAATTGGTGAAATATTTTAAAAGCAACATGAACTCTTATTTCTTTAATTATATCCTGATTAGCAGTTCTTTGATTTTAAAATATAATATATGAATTAATACTAATTATAGTTTTTAAATTTATTATGAAATTGTGAGGCCAGCTATGATGTATGGTTCATAGTGTTGGGCGGTTGATAAGAAAGTAGAGCAGAGAATAAGTGTAGCAGAGATGAGAATGCTTAGTTGGATGAGTGGAGTGACTAGAGAAGATAGGATAAGGAACGAGCATATAAGAGGAAGTATAGGTGTTGCGTCAATCGTGGATAAGATGACAGAAAATAGAATTAGATTGTTTAGTCATGTTATGAGGAGAGAAGAATGGGAAGCTGTAAAAACAGTTATAGAAATGAATGTTGAAAGAAGAAGAGGTAGAGGAAGACCAAAAAAGAGATGGAGGGATGCTATTGNAATATATATATTATATATATATTATAATTTTACACTCACTTGCTAATGAGTATTAACTATTATTGTCATAATTAAAAGTAACATTGTCTGAGTCATTATTTTCTTTTGAAATATTAGTTTACTCTTTATTACAATTTTTCTTTATCCATATAGTTTTTCTTTAGGAACAATGATAGCGCTCGATTTTATCACAATTATAGGATTCAACGATTATTCGAAATCTAAAATCAGTGTCATTTAATTATCTTTCAAGCAGACCTGAATTCGTAAGTTTTTGATGCTCATCCATGGGTCTTCTTTTTACAAAATAAAGTGTAATATTATTATTAGCTAATGTTTTAATTGCTGTAACCACATTACAGTACGATTTAGTATTGACAGAAAAAGCAAACGGGCTATGATATTTTCTTCTATTTTACTGTCTACTGTTTTTATTGTCTAACCAGATCATCAAATTTAGTTTAGTGATTTTTAATGAGAACATCTTTCATATATTTTAAGGTTATCACATTGTATTTTTTAATTATTAATCTATTTGAAATGTGCTTAAACTCAAATATTGCTATTAGTTATTGCCATTTTGCATTAACAGTATTATCTTCTCTTACATATTCTAAATGTGAGTTTGCTAAACACTGAATAATATAAGAAATAAGAGTTGATGTTGCTTTTGGAATAATCCACCAATTTCTCTAAATGAAACACTATCTACAGATTTGCATCGATGCGTTTCTTATGATAGTGATTTTAATCACTGTCAGATATCATCTATACTTGTCCTATCTATGCCTCGTCTACACTGTGCCTCAACCCCACTGTGCTACCGTTTTTTTTATTTTTTTATTTTTTGTGTCTGTGAACGCTCAATCTCAGCTCTCGCTGGACCGATTTTGATAAACAATATGTGAAAAAATCACAAATCGTATCTAGTCGAAAACATTACTCTCAAAAATTGAAAAAAAATTCCCTCGTTCCCCGTAAACAGGGGAAATCCCCCAAAATTAAAATAAATAAAAGGATAAATATAAATATATAAGGATATACAAATAATAATATACAAAATAAAAGAAAATAATTAAAAAATTACAAATTTAAAAAAAAATCACTAATTTTCGACATTTCTTCAATTTTTTTTACTTAAAATTGACATAACTTTTTTAAAAATGACCGAATCAATATCTTTTTTTTTTTTTATAGATACTTTATTTTATTTATGTATTAATGGGTATACGCTCAAATTGTGCTCAGAACAGCTTACATAATCAATACAGGTAAGATAACAGATAAGAAATCAGAATTACAAATTTAAATCAGTTCATTCAGAAGTTATTATACAATTATTCATAAACAAGGGATTTAGAAATAAAAACCCAGCACAGGGGG